TTGAATTTAAAATATTAGAATATGAATGAAGTTTTTTTTCTCTCTCCAAAGACCATGACATAAGTATTAATTATGAAACTTGAAAAGTTTTCTCTCCCTAGGTTTCTTCTTTCTATATAATTCTTGAGGGCTTCTAAGTCTAAGATGAATCGATGATTATAGAGTTCGTTATATGGAAAGACTTTCATCCCCCATTTAATAATAGTCGTTGCAGTTGTCAATATGTGTCTACTATACAATCTTTTCAAATTGTTCTCTTAATTTCGATGAAGATTCATTATACGATGATCGTTTTAGCGAAGACTATAATACGTCGTAATTTCTCCACTCACTTCGCTGCCATATCAGCTTCCGCAATGTCATTGATGGACCTTGATAAGTACGAACACTCCTTCATAGGATAAATTTTTTAAATTAGTGAAAATTACATGTGGTATTGAAATCTCAATTAATTTGGTTGCTTCGTTGGAGTTGTCGTGTGTGGCGGTGGAATGAGAGCGATTGGGTAGAGGAGAAGAGGATGAGATAGATTGAGATGGTGGGGAATCGGGGATATGAACGGTGGTTTAATTCATGGTCATCCTTAAAAATGAAAAAGTAACAACTCATTCCTACTGTTTTCTTTTTATTTTTTATTTGTTAATTTATTTTTTTCATCAAAAAACAAAGAAGATCATATTTTTGTAAATTTGTAATTCTGATTTGTATATTATCATTCTATATTTATCGATTAAATCATAGTTGATAGATATACAAATAATGTAGGTATAGGACAAAGGAGCTAATAAAAGTTGAAGTTAAAAAAATTAGATCTTCTAAAGAGAAGTGGATATCTTAACCACTTAAATTATGCTCGATTTGATAGAAATTTATCCACATTGAAATAAGAACTCGTTGGAGTTGAAATCAAACAAGGTATAGACTTCGATAATGTCAGAAATAATTACATTTAAAGATAAATATAGGTAATAATGATTCTTATGTTATTTGATCGAAGTGATTTTTTTGTAAGAAAAAAGTTATTAGTTGGTTGTTGTTTTTCTTTTTATACCTTCTATTAACCTTTTTTTTTTAAGTATACCTTCTATTAACCTTGAATTTTGAAAAAATTTGTTCTCTAAAATTTATGTCTCTCTAATTTTTATTTTATTTTTTTCTCTAAAATTTTTGTAATCTAGATACATTTATTTTTAATTTTTGTTAATTTTAATACAAGTATTTTAATTTTTATTTATTTTAATACCTCTGCATTTAAAATATTTATTTTTGATTCATGTATTTTAGAAAGGTAACAAGTTAATTAAATATATTTTTAATCTCATTCTTTTTTATGTGTCAGATGTTAAATCGATCTTACGTGGCTGACATTCATTGGATACTATTATATTCCCATCTGTCAGATGCTGCCATGTTAAATCAGCTGTTATGTGGCGGACATTATCGGGTATTGGGATTGTCGTATAAAATTAAAAACTAAAAAGCCGATTATTGAATATTTAAATTTTTTTTTTGTCGTTTTCTCAAACTTAGAAAACTTTTTTTTTAATTATTTTAATACCCGATGTAAAAGTAAATGGCATGTCTTTGATATTATTTTTTAGCGAAAGTACTTTTTTGAATAATCATTTGACAATATTTACTGAATACTTTTTTTCCTTAAATTATTTAAAGCTTTTTTAATGATTTTTTTGCAACGTAACGTGTACGTAACTTTAATTACTTGAATATATCTTTATCTTTAATAAGTGCTTAAAGAAAAGGACTTTTTGAAAAAATATCTTGATCGCACTGAAAAAAAAAATTTATTTAGAAATAAATATAACTTTAATATATATTCGTCGAGCCTAGTTGAATAATAATTGACATAGATCTTCATCTAAAAAATTGGGAAATCGATCTCTCTTCCAATATGTTAAACTAAAAAAATATATATATCGATCTCCAATAAGTACTAAACAAGGATAAATATTTCAACACACGGTAAATTGTATTTTATTTTAGAGGAAATTTTATTGGAGGGTTACTTGTATTTTAAAAAATACCAGATTTTATTTTCCAAAAATGACACAAATTTCAACAAATATCGATAAGTACTAAATAAAAAAATAGTAATATTTGGATAAATATCTGAATGCACTGTAAATCATAATTTTATTTAGATGAATTGAGAGTGGATAACAAAAATATTATATGTATTGTTAAAAAAAATATCAGTAATTTCTTTTTAAATATACAATAAAACAAATTTGAACTTTTTTTTTTCTCATGCCTGACATTTTTTTTTCATTTTCAAATTGCAATTTTGCTGGAGGCAGTTAAAAAATAGCACACAATAAATATATTTGATTTCAAATATAGTTCAAGGTTTAAAATTTTAGAAGAGAAATGTTACGAGGGAGAAAAATGACGGTCATGTATTGAACAACCAAGGGAGGTACGTCGATCTAATGACATCAGCAAAGCTATAAGGGATGAATTAGGTAGATCCTGCAGTTAACGTCATCAATGTGGGAAAGGAGGACTTGATTGAGTATAGTCGGCGTCCATCACCAATCTAACCAACAACCGAATTCAGCGGGGAATATCGACTTTTCTTACTAATCAACTCACCTTTACTCACCAATAAGAATAACTGATAATCTGTTACTTTGGTACATTCGAATCATTTTTTAATATACTAAATACATTCTCCGACTAATATTAACTAAGGTATTGGAGTGTTCACTTTTGTCTTGCATATCACTTGACTCATGGAAGGGATAGGCTTAATTGTTTGGACGGATATTTTCATGCACGGACAAGTAGCATAATCCAAATCAAATGTAACAAAAATAATATTATAGGGAAATCAAATTTATTCTAAATGTAAAACCGACAGGAAATATTAGGGTGGGACTGGATTATGCGTGTGAGATTCAAACTCAACTAATTGTTACTTAAACCTGCTCCTAAGAAAATTATAGATTTTAATTGTGTCGTAAACAAATAAGGATCCCAACTTTTCCTCTTTCTCTTATTTAATAAGATTTTGTAAGTGCATGTGATATAATTTAACATTTTTATTTTAAATTTACATTTAACAGTTATCACAGAGTCACCTTAGACTAAAAATTATATTAAAATTTAATGATTTTTATGATTTCTGAGTAATCTCCATTTTAAATTTTGAAAAATATTCATACAAATATAGAAATTAATACTTTATACATATGATATTTGTCGATATTAAGTGGAGAAAAGGAAAGAACCATTTTTTTCTCCTCGAAGCTTATCAACACTTTTGAAAATAAGGAAAATGGACTTTTCGAATTAATAACATATTTTGAACGAAAAATGTTCAATAATGGTTGGCAATTGGCATCCTTCTATTTTAATTTTCTTTTAACAATAATAATACATTTTTGACCAGAAAAGGCCAAAGGGGCAGTGTTTGGAAATAGTGAGACTTCTAGAAAGAAGCGTCGTCATTATAATATTGAGAGGAAAAAAAAAAAAAAAAGAGTGCTTTCTCACTACTGTCTGAATTATAAGACACGTATTTCAATTTTTGCAGTTGCAGTATTATATTATAAAACTGAAACAATTGGGCCTTAGAGCTTCTGGGCCCACTGGAATGGACAGATTGATGGGCCGGCATGTGAAAACTGAAACAATTGGACCTCATCCGGATCTTTTCGGGTTTTACGTGGGGATTAGATTAAATTTTTGCTTTTTTTTTGTTCGAGGAAAAAATAATAAATTGTTGCACCTACCGGGTTATTTTGGTCATTATATCACCTACAACTTCGTGGGATAATTACTTTTTCCATGTTTGGCCATACTCAATAGTCATGAATTCGAATCATGAACCATCATCATTATTATTATTATTATTATTTTAAAACAAGTCATGCACCATTATTCAATTACTAAGCCAACAATTATTGTTAAGTAATATCTTATGATATCAAATGACTATTCAAATACAATGTATTTGTCTTTCTAAAAGATGTCCGCGCAGAAAATTATGATAAGAGAAATGAAAATTATGATAAATTAAAAAAATATTATTTAAGTTTGCACACTTTTTAGTTCAATATTCCAGGTGAGAATTTATCCCTCTAATAATTTGGTTAAATATATATGGAGTGAGTTATTCTTGAGTGGATTTAAGAATGGTCACTTATTGGCGTCTATTACAAATTAAAAACTACCAAAATATAAGATGCTAAACAAATAATAAAAATAAAAATCTACTCATTCTATCGGAAAATGACATAATAATGCACAAATTTAGGTTTTGTTCGGAAAACTTTTGTAAAATAACTTAATTAAAAACTACCAAAATATGTACATGACTTGATCATAATAATAGTAGGGATTGAGGATCGAACTCATAACCTCTTGATTAGAGATGTATACTAATTTACCGCTAAAGTATGCTCGTTTTGGCACCTACCACCTACTCTTATATAGACCCTTGGATACAAATTCTAAATAAAATTTTGAAAATCAAATAATTTATCCATTCAACAAGTCAAAGTCAAAGGAGGTGGAAGATGAGTTAGGATTTTGTTATTTGTTGGACTTTTATTTTTAAATTTCGCTAAATTAATAGTCATATATGCCAATACTTATTTAAACTCATATTCAACTTGAATCTTGTTTATATAAAAACTGTAATTAAAACTACAAATGTATTGTGTTTTAAAGTTTAGGCTAGATTGTAGGCACGGGTATTCAGACCTCACTGGTAGGTAATATTAATTAGACTTTGAGATTTGAATTTAAATGGTTGTTTTTATTTATAAATATTTACAAAAATTTGATTTCCAAGTTCCACTCTTTTTTGTTTTGGTGAATCTCAATAATTAATAGTTTTAAACTGAATTAAAAAAAAAGAGAGAGAGAGAGAGTAAAAATATTGTATAAATAGTGAGTGAAAATTTGAACTGAAATCACCGAACTTAAAAAGTATTAAAACATAAATCGTTTACTATAATTAAATAAAAGTATTTCTATCAATAAAATGAACTATTCCAAAAAATAAAAATTGAATACAAAAATTCATAGAATGAACAAATGAATGAATGTGGATCTAATCTAATCTATACGCCGTCGTTTAGGCAAGATGCTAAACCAGAGTAGAACAAGCGGAGGCGGAAGGATCAAACAGCGCCGGCAGCAGAAATTTCCGGCGATTGGCACCGCGCGCATTATAGCCGGCTCCGGTGGCTGGGTCCACCGGAAGCTCGCCGGGATAGCCCGGATAAGACCCCTTTCCGAATATTCCGGTGCAGGCCGACGCCGCCTCCAGCGGAGCTTCCTTGGGGCCCTGGTAGTACCCATTCCCGAAGGGATTGGTGGCGGTTCCGGCGAGAAGAGCGGCCAGGTTTATAACAACGCCGTCCATTCCGGCGTCGTTGTTCGGCGGCACCAGCGGCGGGTTCTGAGGACCGTACACCGGGCGGTGGAATGGCCAGGCGCATTGCCCCGGACACTGGGTTTCCGAATTACCAACCCAAATATATCCAAATTTGTACCTCTTCCCCCCAATCGGAGCTCCAGCGGAATACCCATGGGACCCACATTTATTGAAACAGAATCCGTCAACCGCCACGTCCGCCGCCGTCAGGACGACGTTGATTGCATTTTTCCGGCCACCCCTCGCGGCGAGGGCAATAACGTCATTTTGGGAGAGGGATTTGCCGAGGGAGTGGCTCTGGTCCAGAATCTGGGGGCCCAATGAGAGAGAGAGGGATTTTGGTCTGTAGAATTTTTTGAGGTTGTTCCACCAAGTGGAAACAGAGGGGGCAGGGGAAATTGGCCTGGAATTTGAGAGGGAAGCGACGAAATCGACGACGATGGCTTTCTGGGAGGGGCTGAATTTCCCGTACCAGATGAGGTTGACGGTGATGTCGCCGGCGAGAAGAGGGCCGCCGTGGTATTTGAAGGGAAGGGGTTGGTCGGCGGAGGAGAAATGGAGGAGGGAGAGGAAGGGGAGAATTAGGAGAGGAATAGAAGTAGAAAAGGCCATATTGTTAGATTTTGAGGGTTGGATTTGAAGAGAGAAATCGGAGAGTGGAGAGTATTTATATTGAAGTATTAAGGAGTGGGAAAAGGAAATTTGTGAATTGCCAGTGAGAAATACGCGTTGGGGATTTGAATTTTGAGAAAATATAAAGTCAGTGGTGGATTGGGTTTTAACTTTAGACAGCTAAGCCGCAAAAACAAGAGGGAGAATCTAAGGACACCAGTTTTGGCAGGGAGATGAGAACCAATGAAGAGTACTTTTAAATTAAACTAGATTAGACATCTTTTTTTTTAATAATGGTGTATCGTGAGTGATTCTGACGTGTCAAAATTATTTTTATTTTGATTAAAACCATTTATATTTCCATTGATCATGTTTGATAAATTAAAATTTTGATTTTAAAGAATTTTGAAATGATACGAACAAACCACCACTCAACCCAAAAGCTTAAGTTGATGGGTTGGATTAGTTAAATTTAATTCATTTATATGGATTCTAACACAAGAGATCATTTTCCGGTTTCCTTGTCCATTAGCACCCATATTTGGGTTGACTAATAATAAATTTTACAATTTTTTAACTTTATTAAAATATAAGAAAAAAATCTCTCCTTATTTTGAGGTAAAAAAATTAATGGTGGTACGCAAAAACTTACCCATAAATATATATGTTTTTTTTTTCTATTCTTTAAAAAAATTTAAAAATACACTAAAGCGAATATAACTCAACTGTAACTGGTATATCTCTAATCAAGAAGTTGTGAATTCGATCCTCAACCAACACGTTGTAAAAAGATATATATAAAATAACGAGCTAATTTCTAATAGTACCCCGTGGAGAAGGAATACGATGAAAACTAAGGGAGGTTTGTCCGGTTGATAATTTGGGGCTATTATTTATTATTTGAATTATAATGAATTGGGGTTTGGGGATGATGGATAATGGAATGTTTCTTATTAGCAAATAAATAAAGAAATAATAATTAAAGAAAGAGAAAACAAGTGGCAGTTATTGGAATGAAAGTCAGAAACGATACGCCTAATTATAGATCAACAGCTGTAGTGTAAATTGATGGCCTCACTGTACAATTTATTATTATGATTTATGAAGCAACACTCTTAAGTTCTACCTTTCACTTTTCATTATTTTCTCCCAAATTTAATGCACTGTAGCTGTATTTCTAATAATGAAAAATAGGGGTCCCAATTTTTGCAAACTGCCAACCTATTTTTTCTTTTTATTTAATTGAGGTATTTATGTAAGTATTATCAAATAAATATATTTTTTTAAATACAAAAAATAAAAAATAAATACAGTAGAAAGTCTTAAATAGGGTTTAGAAATAAGATGATTATATTTCTGCCTTCTGGTTGAGAGTAAAAGTGAAGTATAATAAAAAAAAGGAATTGAAATAGAAGATAAAATATGAGTTGAACTATATACATGTATATATAATAGAAAAATAAAAACCATGAATGTAGCACAATGTATTTAGAGTAATAAATTAATGGTGAAAAATCCAATTGGTTGGAATTATTGACTTACCTGGCTACAGCTACAGCACCCACCAGCGCCGCACCATTGCGCGTTATCCTCCTCTCCGAACCAGAATTTATCTGGCACAGGTTTAGGAATATGTCCTTATTTTTTCGCGTATTATTTATTATACTTAGAAAGAAAAAAAAAATCTTTAGAAACGATTTAATGTAAATTACCAAATATTTTAAGTTTCAATACTATTTTTCGTCTATCTCTTTCCAGTTTTGATCTGGTTCACTTTGATACAGGTATTTTTAAACCTATGTTTTAGTATTACTTTTAAAAATGATCTTTTTTTTGTCTCATTCTTTTATCTTAAATTTAATATGAAAGTGTATTCAATTAATTTTTTTTGGATAAATAGGTATACATTTATATTAAATAATTTTCTTAATATATAGAATTTGTGTTCAAAATTTGTAAACAATGACGAAATTTTTTTTTTTTAACGTGAACAATGAAATAGATGTTTTAAAAGAAGAATAACTAGAATGAAACATCAAAATAAATAATTTGGAATTACAATAATCGTAATAAATTGGAGTTGAAATTATATGGTCCCAACACTTATGCCAACTACCTCTAAGTTTTTCATAATTCATCGTAAAACTATGATCTCCTTCACTTTCCCAAAGTATAAAATCCCTTCCAACTCCATCTTCTTCCCTCCATATCCCCACCTTTCAGTTTCTCCAAAATCTCCCCTCCTTTTTCCCCCGCCGCCATGGCCTCCCCCATTTCTCTCCTTCTCCTTCTCCTCCTCTCCTCTTCACTCCACTCCATCTCCGCCGCCACAAACCTCGCTTTCTCACACCGCTCCTCCGCCGAATATCTCTCTCTTCCCTTCAAATACCACGGCGGCCCTCTTCTCGCCGGCGACATCACCGTCAACCTCATCTGGTACGGGAAATTCAGCCCCTCCCAGAAAGCCATCGTCGTCGATTTCGTCGCTTCCCTCTCAAATTCCAGGCCAATTTCCCCTGCCCCCTCTGTTTCCACTTGGTGGAACAACCTCAAAAATTTCTACAGACCAAAATCCCTCTCTCTCTCATTGGGCCCCCAGATTCTGGACCAGAGCCACTCCCTCGGCAAATCCCTCTCCCAAAATGACGTTATTGCCCTCGCCGCGAGGGGTGGCCGGAAAAATGCAATCAACGTCGTCCTGACGGCGGCGGACGTGGCGGTTGACGGATTCTGTTTCAATAAATGTGGGTCCCATGGGTATTCGGCCGGAGCTCCAAATGGGGGGAAGAGGTACAAATTCGGGTATATTTGGGTGGGTAATTCGGAGACCCAGTGTCCGGGGCAATGCGCCTGGCCCTTCCACCGCCCGGTGTACGGTCCTCAGAGCCCGCCGCTGGTGCCGCCGAACAACGACGCCGGAATGGACGGCGTTGTTATAAACCTGGCCGCTCTTCTCGCCGGAACCGCCACCAATCCCTTCGGGAATGGGTACTACCAGGGCCCCAAGGAAGCTCCGCTGGAGGCGGCGTCGGCCTGCACCGGAATATTCGGAAAGGGGTCTTATCCGGGCTATCCCGGCGAGCTTCCGGTGGACCCAGCCACCGGAGCCGGCTATAATGCGCGCGGTGCCAATCGCCGGAAATTTCTGCTTCCGGCGCTGTTTGACCCTTCCACTTCCACGTGTTCTACTCTGGTTTGAGAACGTGGCCTGGCTAAACGACGGCGTATGGAAATTTGTTTTGGATGGAGATTATTTGTTTTATTTATTCATTTATACTTTCTTTTTCTTGTTGATCCGTCGATGGTTCACTTGATAGGATACAGATGTAAAAAGTTCGATGTAACAAAATATAATGTTTTCATATTTATTTATTTATTATTTTTTAGAACAGTTTTCATATTTATTATTTCTTTTAAAATATACAAGTTTACTTTTATTAAGCTATAGAATCCTTATTATTAATTTTGTGCGGTATTTTAAGTTTAAAGTTTTGATATATATAACACCAAAAGCGTGAATCGTAATTACCAATTGCATATTTAAAAAGCAGATGCGGATCCAATGCACACGATAGTAATTATTTTTGTCAGGAATCTATACTTATTGTACTAAAAAAATATATATATATATATATATTTGAGAATTTTTTTGTAGTAACAAAATATGAGATAATTAAATACAACACTATAAGATATATACATTATTTAAGCAAAAATAAGTAAAATCTTACAACTAAAGAGTTGAGTAGGGTATTCAAATAATATATTCCCTCCTCACTTGGATGGGATATATGTCATATTTTCCAAGGTTACTAATTTTCTCATTTTACTCAAATTATTTGTTATTTTTAGTACAATAAGTGGGGTAGGAGATTTGAACTCACGGGTACCAATTTGAGCTAAGTTCATATTGGTTCGTTTTTCTACGGTTCAAATGTTGAAATCTTCATCCTCACGTTTATTGTGTTGGGAAAAAAATAATAACAACATTGTATCTCTATATGTAATGACTAATTTATGTTATTTCACTCCTATTTTTTTATATATAATAGATTCTTTAATTATTTAATAAATTTCAAATTGTTTGGATATTTTACAAAAATTTGGGAATCGTTAAAAATAATTAAGCAAAAAAGTTATTTGTTTTAGAAGGAAGCACAAAAGTGGAATTAGTGACCTATTATACATAAATCTATTAGATATAAAATTAAAAATATATGAATTTATTGGACGAGACTAAGCTTCCAACTTAATTTATTTAAAAAAAAAAATCGTAATTTATGTAAAATGTTGGACAAATAAAAAGAAAATCATCTATATTTTGACCTCCGTTTTAAAAATATAGAACAACGCGATAAATTAACGTAAAAGCTTGTCTGGATCAAACTTAAGAATGAAGAAAAAATAGATTAGCGCAAGACTAGATAAAAAATACAACGGAAAAAGAAGTCATTTAGGATAAAATTGAGACATTACCGTGTTTTAGATTCCATTACTTCAACTTTTCCTTTAAAATATATTTTTTAGCCTGGCAGGTTCAAATACTAATATGAGGGTGCGTGTGTAAACTCTCGAAAGGATTTTTTTTTTTGGTAACATAGCCTAAAATGTTTTTAAAATATCAATAAAGTTTAAAGAAATTATTTTTCTCTACGAAGCCCCGAGACTGGACCCAATCTTTCGGTGCGTGGGCTTCCGCGACAGTAGAACAGACCCGTGATAACGCCGAATTGAAAGGTTCAGCGACGGATTCCAATTTTCCAGCATTCTCCGACCGCCTGAAACTTCAATTCCCATCTCTCCAAGTTAATTCCCTCGCAGAATACTGTCCAAAAATGCAATCCGAAGATTCGAAATCCCCAGAATTCCCAAACACGTCGCGAAATTTGCACGCTCCGGCCAATTTCCTGCCGTCGACTTCTTCCTGTCCTGAAATTTCACCGCCCCCAACTCACCGCCCTGCTCCGGCCGCCGGCATCCCGTCCAACAACCGTTCTAGCCAATCCATAATCCTCTCCCCGGTTCCTCAACCCCAAAGAGTTTCCGTTGTCTCTCCCCCTTACCATTTCCAAGCCCCTTATAAAAGAATCCATTCTCCCGATGATATACGCCGCTTCCACGATTCCGATTCCGGAAGAAATTTCATCGGTTTCGTCGTCGCTCTCTCAGAATCCACACGAGGCCGGAAAATTTCCGATCCTTGTCACCAATCCGACACCGTTGGCTCCATCGTCTCCATCCTCGATACTCTGATTCAATGGATCGAAGATATACCTCCGGCGCAGCAGGCATCGCGCTACGGAAACCTTTCGTATCGGACGTGGCATGCCCGGTTGGTGGAAAACAGCGATTCTCTCATGCTTCGATTTCTTCCCGAGGATCTCCAGTCGGCCACTGTAGAAATTGTCCCCTATTTCGTTGATAGCTTTGGGAATCCAAGCCGTATCGACTATGGCACTGGGCACGAGACAAATTTCGCAGCCTGGTTGTATTGTTTGGCGAAGTTGGGGATAATTAAAGAAGAGGATTATCCAGCCATTGTCGTTAGGATTTTCGTCAAGTACCTTGAGTTAATGAGGAAACTGCAATTGGTTTACTGCTTGGAGCCCGCGGGTTCTCATGGGGTTTGGGGCCTTGATGACTACCATTTTCTGTCGTTCGTTTTTGGATCGTCGCAGTTGATAGACCATAAGTATCTGAAACCCAAATCCATTCACAGTCAGGATATCTTAGACAATTTTTCAAATGAGTATCTCTACTTCTCCTGCATTTCGTTTATAAAGAAGGTGAAGAAGGGTCCATTTTCGGAGCATTCACCATTGCTTGATGATATTAGCGGGGTGCCTACTTGGAACAAGGTCAATAGTGGGTTGCTCAAGATGTATAAGGTGGAGGTATTGGAGAAAGTTCCCATTATGCAGCATTTTCTCTTTGGATGGCTCATCAAATGGTGTGTATAATAGTCTTCGTTTCTTTTTCTATGTACTAGTTAAATGCCTGCGTTTATTGCAACTTTGTGCTCTCCATATGTTCCTCAGGATGCATCATATTAGTTTTGGGAAGTTTTTGTTTTGTTGGTCCTTTGTTTAGGCTATGAGTGGGAGTTTTTGGTTTACAATATATGAATCTTTTTGGCCTTCCCAGAGGCCGGGTTGTAAATGAATTCTATTTCCTCAGATCAATAATAAGCTTAATGATCTGGCTTGCAAGTTATTCATTGTAATTTCTTGCTCTTCAGATGTTTATGCTTATCAATAGTAAATATTCACTGCGTTGGCTTTGTAATTTGTATTCATGGGAATAATAATGGAAATAGGATTGAACTTGTTCTGTCTCCAACCTGCATGTCTTTGCTCATTAATTCATTCTTACATATGAAATTGAATTACTGGATTGGATTAATAATGTCGTCCCCTCTTGTTAATGGGGTAAATTGAGGGTAGGCTATGCAGGCTAAAGGTAAAGCTCCTCAGCGATTTAACTTCAATGAACAGCTTTTAGAAACCTAATGTAACTCTCTGGTCAACTGATATTGACAACTGTACATTTCATTGCCAATTCTAGATTTCTCTGTCATCTGCTGTAAAGATGGGATTACACGTTTCTAAAGACTTACTCTGGGAGCTCTTCTACTTTTCTTCTTTTGAATGAGTTCTGGTTAGTTTGGTTCCCTTAATTGAACTTCGTTTCTCATTAGTTAGAATAGAATGGTTACTACCTTGCAGATTCAAGTGCAAGGATCTAGCTATTTAACTGCAGCTGGCTTGTCTCATAGACATCTTGACAGTATCTCAAGACCTATAATTCTCGTTTTCCCATTTCATGTTACCCCATTTTCTATTATAGGAAACGGGTAGAGTATCAAATTGGGTCATCTTTACATTAGTAAGCATTTTGCTTGTACAAAAGTCTAATTTAAACAGTGTAGGTATAAAAGAAAACTGTTGATGATGATGAAATGACCTTTGGACTTTGGGTCGCCAAACAGCATTCATAACCAAGCTCCTCTTGTCTCTTTCCTTTTGACGTTGCATGTCCATATGACATCTCCATTAGGATTTAAGATACAGCATCTCAAAGTGCTTGTCATGATTGGTTGACGACACACTCATTTTACACGAGAAGATTCGTTTACTGAATTTACATTTCACTTTTTCTTCCATTGCAGGAACTAGATAGAAGAGTGCGGTTATTTGATGATACAGGAATCTTCTCTGTTGAGTGTAGTGATTTGCTTCTTATTATGAGCTTAAACATCTGGTTAAGAAGAATGCTCTTTTCCTCCCCTGCTTTGCTTCTTTAGTGGGCTTTGTTTCCAGAATAAGGCCCAATCAAGGAGAGGGAAGGGATCCATGGTTTCACGAGTCAGGAATCAATATATTTTATAGACGTCGTATAAAATGTCACGTCGCTGGGCTCAGGAAAATAATGGAATAAAAAGGACCTGCCTTGTCTGCTTCCTCCTTTCTTTCTTTCTGATTAAAGTAGAGAGAAGAGAACCAAACGGACGGTTTATAACACAGCTTCAACCAAAGAAAAAGGGGAAAAAACAGAGAGAACAATGGGGTGTGGGTGAGGCTGATGAATGGTGATAAGGCTGTGGGGAATGTGATAATAATAGAGGCAACTACGTCAACCAAAGGACTCAATGGGTGTGTCGTTCTTGGGTTTACTTAGTACCATAATTCAGTGTGATTAGGGAAATACACTTCTCTTTTAATGTGCATTTGGGTACCTGAAATTTTGCACAGTAAATTTCTCAGAAGTTTCTAATTTGAAACAATTCACTCTTTGTGCTTTTTGTCACAGCCTCCATTTCCACATAATTACTTTCTAGTTTCTACCCATTTTTTCTCCCAAGATTTATCTTCCCCTGCACCTGCTCATTAAATAACTAATGTGTCCATGAATTTCCTTCCGTTTATATCTTACCTTTTTGGTACATGACTTCATTTTTTCTTAAAAAAAAAGAAATCATTATTTCGACAGCAGGATTATGCGTTGTGGGAAGTGAAATGAGACCAATTTTGGATGCTAGTGTTGGTGCACAGTCGAGTTAATGGCTCTGTTTACTTGTTTTCCTTTTTCTCCAAGTTGGTTCAATGAAGTCAATGGGGTAACCCAGAAGATTTGAACTTTCGAATTACCAGCGTTGAAAAAGAAGACCTGTGCATTAATTTACACGTTTTACTGCTTTATTGGTTCCACCTTCTCCTTCTCCAATCCTTGTCACCGACACCTGTACGTGCCCTTAGTTGGAACTTGAAACTTGAGACTTCTTCCTCCGTTTTCTTCTCCCTCTCCCCTCTCTCTCACACACACGCGGTATTTACTGACTCAGTCACCTCAGTCTTGAGAAATCTCAGAAGAAGAAGGAAGTAAATTTATTTATTTTTTCTGATACCGATGCTATGCCAGTAAATTTCAAACATTTCGTATATTATTAATTGTTATTATTAGTATTGTGTTACTCATCTCTCTCTTACTTTCATCCTTCTTAACAGTTTTGAGTCGGATTGGGAGAAAGAGAGATAAAAGAAAAAGGAAAAACTAAAAATAACAGTTGTGGCATCTACTCTTGCGTCTTCCTCACAACTATGCAAACACACACTTATCCCGTTTGAGCATCTTTTTTTTTAACCTCATACGATTGCGTCTCTCTCTCTTACACTCATTGGGTTTTCACTTTTTTGAAAATTTTGCTTCTCTGATGCTTGCATTCAAGCTTTGGTTAGGTGGGTACATTGCTCTCCCTTCTGGGTCTTGCTTTCTTTTCCTTTTCTCTTCCTCGTCCCTTGTCTCTGCCGAGTAAACCGGCGAGTTCTTTTTTCCTCCTCTCTTTTCCCTTTTCTTTTTTGCCTCTTCCTTCCTTCTCTCACTTGATTTCAATACATGAAAAAGAAAAAGTAGTTTACAAAATTAACAACACCCACTTAGCTCCCCTTGGTGTAGCTTTTCTTGAGATTTCAATTGTGAGTTTCGTGTTCCTCTCTCCATTTTGTCTCTAATACTTTGGAGCTTCACATTTGCTGAGTGGTTTACTCCTCTATTTCTCTGTTTTTTCCTCAGGTCCTCTAATTTCCGTGGCTTTCAACCACTGAGAACTTTAATTTTTGATACTTCTTTCGTTGCCTGCGATGTTTTTGGCTTATTTTCTTTTTTACTTTTGAACTCATTGATCTGTATGCTTGTCCTTATTTTAACATAGTTCCTTTGGTTTATAGTGTAGATTTGATTTTAGGTCTGACAATTTATGCTTCCGGTAGTGAACGAATATTTTGTGTGCTTTTATTTTAATTTGGATCTCAAACGCTACCCTCTTCTCCATGGCGATTTCTTAAGTTTCTGATATGTTTGTTTGATGTTTTATGTGTCAAATTTGAGTGTGCAATTTGGTCTCTGGGTTACCCTAAATGTTGGACAGAAAAAAAAAAGCTTTCTTTTTTTATCTTTCTCACGAGCTAATGGCGCCTTCTGCCAGCAAAGAACTATTTAATTAACTTTTTCCATATCTCTGGTTTCTCAAGCAGACTAGAGATGGCGGAGGGAAGCGAGTTCAGGCATTGGGACGAGCTAATACCCGATGCTCTTGGTCTAATCTTCAGTAAACTTCCACTTCAAGCGATACTCATGGTTATACCCAGAGTCTGCAAATCATGGGCCAAAGCAGTACTCGGACCTTACTGCTGGCAAGAGATTGACATTGAAGAATGGAGCAGCCGATTCCAGCCCAATGATGTCGACCGGATGCTTCAAATGCTGATTAACCGAAGTGGCGGTTCGCTTCGCAAACTCTGCGTTACTGGTCTCCATAACACCAGCATAATCTCCTTCGTAGCTGATCAGTAAGAAACATTTCCCTCTTCCCTCAAAACTTATTATTTTTTTGGATGTGTTTGTGAAATTGGTTTTAGGGTACGCCCCTTTTGTTTAAATTTGATATGCACCGGGTTTGGACAAGATTTCTATGACTGCTCATTAAGGCTTTGGTTGGTGCTGCTGACTTTGGATTTGGAGTTAAATAGACTATTTTGTGATGTTGGTCTTTTGTTTTCTATTGGTTTTTCAAGTGCTGGTTCTCTTCAGACATTACGACTGCCAAGGAGCAATATAAGCGATACTCTAGTAGAACAAATTGCTGGAAAGCTTTCAGCAGTTACGTTTTTGGATCTAAGCTATTGTGATAAAATCAGCGCCACTGGTTTAGAGTCCATAGGAAAGAATTGTAAAGCCTTAGTCGGAATTTGTCGAAACTTGCACCCGCTGCACACAGCAGGTAGGCCCTTGCTGGACGATGAAGCTTATGCCATTGCAGCCACAATGCCAAAACTCAAGCACCTTGAAATGGCCTATCACCTCGTAAGCACTAAAAGTGTGATGACAATACTGTCGAGCTGCTCCGAGCTCGAGTTTCTCGATTTGAGAGGGTGTTGGGATGTAAGGCTGGAGGACAAGTTTCTTGCAGAGAAGTTCCCAAAACTAAGGGTGTTGGGGCCTCTCGTTAGAGACTACTACGAGAGAAACGAGTGGGACGAATGCTCAGACTACTCATACATATCAGACGACTTGGCATGGGACTTTTCTGGAGATTTCTACGACGATGCAGAGAGTTACGACGATCCGTGGGACGACGAAGGCAGGCTAGAGGGACTAGAGTTGAGATTTTACGAAGGAATAGATGAAGATGGTGGAGCTTTTGGGTGGCCTCCCTCCCCTTAACACTATGGAGTGATGCTGGTTTTTGGGTTTGTGAAATTGTTTGCTCTTTTTATTTTGCTCTTCCTACTTGGTATCAACTCGATGCTTTTGGAACTTGTGTGGATTTGTAAATTCTCTAATAGAAATTCAAGCGTGCCCCCCCTTTTTTTTTCTTCTTCTTTTTCCTTATTAGTTTAATGTGTAACTTTTGATGAATTCTAAGTTTGTGAGTCTGCCATGTCTGCCCCTCAAAGTTTTAGAGTAGAAAAAATATAAAATTTTTGATTGGTGGTTTGGTTTGTTTATGTCAACGTATTACACAAAACAGAGTGGAAAAAAGGAGGAGTTGAAAGTTGGGTGTTTATGGCAGAAGGATTGTCATTGTTCTGACCTCCCCAAAAGTAGCAAGCCTTCCATGGTTGGGTGAGGGACTCATAAATGTTTGTTTGTTTTTTCCTTTCTTTTTAATATGGTTTCAATTTGATTTCAATGAAACATGTTCATTTTTGTTTAGTCGCAATACTTTGAAAACATAGCGAGAAATGTTGTTTGTTGATTTGAAGGAAGGTTAAGTTTTTGAAAATATACGCTTAAAAAATATATATGTACTAAATACAGATAATGTCTTAAAAGTTTAGTCGGTTAAATTATAATAAGAAAAAAGGGAATGTGTGTGTTGGTGGTGGAGGGTCACGTGATGGCACGTGCGTACGGATCTTGGGATCTTGTAATACCGGGTACCGGCAGCGGCAGGCAAGGCAACCAGGCCAACTTCTCTCGGAAGTAGAGTTTGTTTGCACGTGTTGAAGTTGAGATTCGCGTGTTCCCTCGGATCTCCATTTTTAGCATTTTATGTCTAATTTTATTTCATTTATCTTCGAGATTCTCAATTTTATGTCGTAACAAATTATTGTTATGATTATGAATGAAATTCTTGAATAATCCACATTTTGTGGAACTAATTGGAAAGACCAAGTGAGCTAATTGGAATCGTGGGTTAGGCTTGTAGCACATATAGTACGAGTATGCTTAATAGATTTGGTACTTTTTTTCCATAGATTCCAGATTATATGGGTATAGATAAAATTTTGATAGAGAAGCCTTCGCATTATCAACTATTTTTTTCATTTTTTATTTGACTATATTTATTATTTCTTATATTATCTTTAGTCTAACCAAAGTAAGATATTTCTAGTAGAAGTTTTTTAAGAAATATTTTTTTGAAGAGTTTTAATTGTGAAAAAAACAATAATAAAGGGAGAAATGGGAGGTCTCCCAAACTTAAAAACTATTAATGGTTATACTAATGGCTTAGTTTTTAAACAAAATTTGGAAAGGGGAAAGGGTTTAATGGTAAAGGGAAAAATAAAAGTAAACGTTGTGGTAGTTTCTAAAAAAGGATTTGCATTTAATCGAAGGATTTTTCTACTTTTTCACTATTTCTAAAAAAAATATTGTGTAATGTTTTTGTTTTGACGGCGTCAGAACTGGGCACAATAAAAAACTGGGCCTGTAAAAGGGCCCAATGGAAGTTGGCCAAGACTGACCCAATATCGTACATAGCCCATGAGAGGCCCACCCAATCTAGGATGGCCCAAACACCTGAACTACGTACGTACAGTTTCTCATGAAAAAGAGCCAACTTTAGGAAAGAAGGAAAAAAAAGGAAAAAATATAGGGAAAAAAACCCGTGCGTGCCAGCTACTTTGGTACATGTCAGGCTGTCAAAAACGAAGATTTCTAAAAAGAAAATTATAAAAAAAGAAAAAAAAAAAAGCTGTCAAACAGAAGACGCACAGTTTTGAACATCTTCTGTGCACCATCCATCCATCTTGATCCAACGGCCTAGATTTGATCTGTTCTTCGTCCCCAACGCAATTATCGCTCCACTACCTCTCTCTAGCAGAAGAAAAAAAAGAGAGAAAAACCCAAACCCCGAATTCGGTTTCCTCTCCCTCTCTCTATTTTGACTCCGCCATCTCCAGGCCGCTTCAGATCTAATCGTGTTCCTCCTCTTTCTCTCTGCAATGGCGGTCACCTCTTCCCCTCGCGAGGAGTACGTTTACATGGCCAAGCTTGCCGAGCAGGCCGAGCGCTACGAGGAGATGGTCGAGTTCATGGAGAAGGTCTCGGCCGCCATCGACAACGAGGAGCTCACCGTCGAGGAGCGCAACCTCCTCTCTGTTGCCTACAAGAATGTTATTGGAGCCCGTAGAGCCTCCTGGCGGATCATTTCCTCCATCGAGCAGAAGGAGGAGAGCCGAGGGAACGACGATCATGTCTCCATCATCCGTCAATACAGATCCAAGATCGAGAACGAGCTCTCCAATATCTGTGACGGTATCCTCAAGCTTCTTGACTCTCGCCTCATTTCCTCCGCTGCTTCCGGAGATTCCAAGGTCTTTTATCTCAAGATGAAGGGAGATTATCATAGATACCTCGCTGAATTCAAGACCGGAGCCGAGCGGAAGGAGGCTGCCGAAAGCACCCTCACCGCTTATAAATCTGCTCAGGTTTGATTCCCTCTTTACCTATCAAAATCATTCGGTTCGTTAGGGCTTTTGGAGGTATCTCATAATCGTACTCATTCTCATTCTTTCTCACTCTTATTCCAATGATGTGGATAATGCCTTTAGGTCTTCCAGTATTGTCTCACAATATATTCCTTGGAATGGACACATTTTTGATCAACTCATAATCTACTGTCTAATTGGCTAAATCATATTTCCTGTTTATGTCCATCCGTGTGTTCTCTTTCAGTTGGAAAACCGTTGGTTTGTGGATCCTTACGTGTTCAAATTGCCTGCGTCAATGTAAAAAATTCTCTGTGCTTGTCTTGTAACCATTTTTGAAAAAAGCGTCTGTTTTTGGAAGGAAAACGAATCCGTGAAATTATAGCTGTACGGGGTCTTCTCTTGAGCGACAATCTTTGATGACTTATCTTACTAGAACAATTAACAGACGACTTATTGGAATACAATTCTTTAAAAGAGTTCTGGAAAAATATAACTTGAAAACAGTCTATACAGTTTTTGTAGGGATGGCTTCCTTTTGGTTGCGAACATGGTTGACTTTCAATATACAGACAACTTTTTGGAATAGGAATACAATTCTTAAACGCCTTTTTTTCTTCTTTGTAAATAAAGAAAGATTAGTGTTCTAATAAGCTATATCTTTTGCGTTTGCAGGACATTGCAAATGCTGAACTTGCTCCTACTCATCCCATACGACTTGGGCTGGCTTTGAACTTCTCAGTGTTCTATTATGAGATTCTGAATTCCCCTGATCGGGCTTGCAGCCTCGCTAAACAGGTTACTTCAATATACAGAACTTCATTTTCTTTGACTTACCCTGTTTGAATGACCAATTATTATTATTTTTTTCTTTTTTGAGAAACTGAACTGACCAATGACCACCTACTTAAAAAACAACGTAACCAACATAAATCAACCACCCAAAAAAAAAACTTAGTAAGATCAAAATGAATGGACCATATAATCACCAACCAGACCGACCAAAATTGAAATTTCTTGGATTGCAAGTATTATGAAACCGAACCAATTTGGTTTGATCAATTTGCTCAGCTTTCAGAACCTTTTCTGATTTCAGCTTGCACTCCTACCTAGAACCTGTTAATTTATTTTTAACAGGCTGGAATGTAACTATTTTCTAAGATAGCGTTCCAGATCACTTATCATTGCACTTCTGCATTGATCAGGCCTTTGATGAAGCAATTGCTGAGTTGGATACATTGGGCGAGGAATCATACAAGGATAGCACTTTGATCATGCAACTTCTTCGTGACAACCTCACCCTATGGACTTCGGACATGCAGGTAATGAGCTGGTTCTATCTTAAGTTCTACATCTTTCTTCATAGGACACAGCCACGAATTTTGATAGGAGGGGCAAAATTTTACTTTAAAACTTCATGTATTTATAGACAGTCTTTCAATTCTGAAAATTTGGAGGGGATCTTTAACTTATAATACAATTTTTTTTTAATCTAAGATGGAACTAGGGGCAACCTTATTTCTTCGTTCCGTCTCTGATTTCTTCATCGACTTGACTATATGCTCCTGTTTTGGCATTGGGTGTCTGCTACTGATGTATATTTTTTCTGGGTTTCCTTCTTTTTGACCAGGATGATGGTGCAGATGAGATTAAAGAAGCCGCTCCCAAACGTGATGAGGAATAGTAAGCATATTGATTGCACGTGCAAGGATTCAACTTCTCCTCTACATGTTTTATTCTGGAGAAGTGCTTGTTTGGAATTTGGCTTTTTCTATTGTTATCTAGGTATTTCTCAGCCTTATCATCACCACACTCTGGAAAACGCACTCGTTTGTCTTTCTTTCTTTCTTTCTTTCTTCTTTTTCTTTGACCAATCAATCCTCTGTCTCTGAATTGGGTATTTTCCTCGAATATAAAGTTTGATATATTCCTAAGCATCATGTAATTCAATTTAGCTCCATCTCTTACACGGATACATATCATCCCTTATCAAGTAATTATATGTACCGTCTGATTTGAATCCTATCTGTGGTTGTGGCTATTTGAAAAAAACACAGAACAATTTGTTATCCATATACGAGGATGTGGTTCGAGGTAATCGATTTTCATATGTCACGTATTTGGTGGTCCTATGCCCCTAATTTTGTAAGCTTTATGTTGACTGGTGAGAACCAAAAATCCAGTTTGAAAGAATGGCTAGCATCCATCTGTCCTATGGTATTGGGTTTCTGCAGGCTTGCTTTTGGATTTGTTGGTATCATCTGTCAGGTATGTATGTAGTTATAATAAGCATATTAGAAGGAAGCATTTTATTCCCAATCTAAGTTTTAATTCCTTGGGAGGTGTTATAAAATTATCATCTCAGCTACTTATTTTCACTCATTTTTCTTCGATTGTTATTATGAAAAATTTTAATCTTTTTTTTTTCCTTCTAAATACCGACCAAATTATGCACCAGCTTCCAAAAGTTCAGGGTAAATTTGGCTTCTTGTTAAAGGTTTCGAAGTTGGGATTAAAATGGGGTTAGATGATAAATTACAGAGTAGATAAATCTAGATTTTTAAACATCCATCTGATCTCTGACCCTCTTTTGCGAATTCGTAACCAAAATTAAAAGTTCATTAAAAATATATATTTACTTTAGCATCACCGACTTTAAATTTTAAAAATAAAAAGAATTATGAACTTTAAAATCATTTCTTCAAGAGAGATTTGAATTGAAAATATCATTGGCATTTGTTGTGTTGTTTTTGGAAAAACTTTTTTGGGCAATTGAAATATTGAAAAGGTTCGACAAGAATAAATCTGTAATACAAATATAGATTAATTCAGCCATTTATATTTCCAAACATCATAATTTAACAGTAAGAAAAAGAAAAAGAAGTTAAACTAAATGCCCTCTCCCTCCTAAGCTATCCTATCCATCAGTCTCACCGTAGAGTCAAAGAAAGCGTAATAAATCCAAGACATTAGCTTTGAAAATGAAGTTCAAATATTTATATTCTTTTTCAAATTCAAGACAAAAAGGAACATTAATGATTAGAATCCCTCCTTTTTAAGTACGCGAAAACGGCCATTTAGAGGCCATTCCTATTTCTGTTGCAGCAAAAACCATCTTTTTATGAACAAAAATCTCTCTTTATCATCTTCTTCTTTTGCTAATTTTGATAAAGCTGAGCCAACTAAAAGGTTTGTTTCCTCTTCTTCCTCCTGTTTTCCCCTCTCCTTTGCATGCCATTAAAGCATAATCTTGGGAACGGGTAAAACAAAATTCACTCTTGACCTCAATCTAACGTCTCTATAGCCTCCCCTAACCACCTTATTCTATGCTGTGCTCCTTCAAACCAAGTGAAGTGGACCTGATCGTCATCGTTACGAGCCGACTCCATTAGTTATAAGACCCGCTTTGTTTAAAGCAAAGTAAACAGTCTAGTCTGCCATGGAGATCTCTGGTTGCTCCACCTTAATTTGAAGCATAGACTAGGAGGAAAACCATACTAGTTCCTCACTATTCCAACCATTGACGTTAGTACCATCGACATTAGTTACCATATCAATCATACATGACCACCTACTTATATTTAATATCCTACGAGTTTTTTTTTATAATCAAACGTACTAACATTAAATTGTTGTTGTGAGATTAATCGAGAAGCATGTAAGTTAGTGCGAACAAATACAATCGAGTCCGATTAGGTACTGACCAGGCCAGGCCGTGGAATTAAAAATAAAAGGACTTTTTGGATGAAAATAACAATAATACCACGGAGAGTTGACAGGTTCAAATCCAAACAAGGGAAAAAAAAGTTTATGAACTGTAAAACACACAAAAGGTTTACAACTACCAAATCAAGATTATACAAATGAGTACTTCCCAATTTTGGTGCCTATGTTTAGGACTCAATAATAAATGACGAAAGAGAGAGGTCTGCAATTGTAGAACATTGTTTGAGACTATGCTTATGTAAATCACATTTTATAAATCAGGCCGAACCGAATCAAATTCCAACAAAATTTTTTACTATTCAAATCATACATTAGAAGAAGCTAATTTCCCTTCAAAAACTTAATGGAACAAATAGATGTTGTGAGGCAGATGAAGAAAACTTGGGCTCAAAAAGTGTTTCTTACAAGTAATATAACTAAAGAAACAGAAAGAAACTCTGAAATGTAATCTATCACATTTGAATGCTGTAACCCAACCCCCAACCAAACAGAAAATGACCCCAAAAAAAACAAAAAAAAAAAAAAAATCCAACAGCAACTAATTAAGATCGTCTTATAGGAGATTTACAGAACAAACTCCAGTTTCTAAATCAGTAGTGGAAATTTTGATTTCCCTTTTCCACACACTGATGATCCAATTACCCTTCCATCTCAACATGTATACAAAATCTAAAAGTTCAAAAAGAAGGAAAAAAGTTGAGCTGTGGAACTACAAAGATTAACGAATATGAGAATTCAACTTACCAAGATGAGAAATCACAGAGCTCTCCATCGAGGGCTCGGCACCGGCACAGTGGGAGAGAGCGGGAACTGTGGGTACCCAAATGAACCCGCCGACGGCGAAAATAGCATGCTCGGCGAGAGCAACGGGTACGCCGATCTCGGCGAATTCATACATCCGAACGGAAGAGGCGACGGCGGCATGGGCATCGGCGGCTGTGATTCTGAAGCCATTGCTGCCGATGAAGGTGGAGGAGGAGGAGGAGGAATGGTTCCTTGCGGCGGCGGGGGAAGCTGTTGCTGTGAGGGCAAATTGTTCCAGCGAGGCGAGACCAGAGGGGCGAGGGGCGAGAATCCCGAGAATTGCTTCTGATTGGATTCGACGGTGGATAATGAGTTGTGGAGATATCTCATATACGCCGAAACGGGAGATTCCGCCGGCGCGTGGACCGTCGGTAGAGGAGGCAGAGGCGAGAGCGGCGCTGCGGGCCGTCCGAAATTGGTGGCGGATGAAATTGAATTTCTAGGGTTCAGACCAGGCGGCGGTTGTTGCGGCTGCGGAATGGGGACGGCGCTATTAAGCAGCGGAGGGGGACGATTACTGACGCTCGCAAGCGGAGGCGGTCGGATTCGCTGCAGGCGAGAGCTCTGTGGCTTCGGAGGATGAATCGGCGGCGGATTCGTGAACCGCTCGTGCGCCGGCGACCCGGTCAGCTTCTGAACCACATCGCGGAAATCGTTCTTGTTGATGTTATAAACCGGCGGCTGATGGTGCTGCGGCGGCTGCGTCTGAGCCTGCACCACCGATTCCGGCGGCGGAGGCGGCGGCGGCAGACTCTGATTCTGATTAAAATTAGGATTCGAGTGGACAGAAGAATCAAACCCCGGCTTCTTAACGAAACTAGGCTTCGAGATTTTGTGCGAAAGCTTGTTGAGGTGCTTCAAATATTGGTCTCTCCCTGTACCGCCGCCATTGTTACCGGCGGAGGAATCTCCAGTCAGTGAAGATTGGTAGTTCTTCTCCATATTTCATATAAAAAAAGTAAAAAAAACAGATACCCAGAACCCCAATTCTTGGTCTAAAAACAACTATAGATCCAATCTAATCTCTGCAAATCGGAGGATCGAAGGATCTTGGTGTTCTTGTTCAGTCGGCTGAAGGGGACCCAGAAACCAAAATTTGAAGAATAAGATAAAAAATTTTCAGGTAAAAGATATACTTCAGGCTCCAGAGATCGCCCACCTGTACAAAAACTCCATGAGAGAGAACGAACAAGAGAGAGAAACTAGAGAGAGAGAGAGGTGGAGGGTCTTATCTCATCTCATTGCCTTTGCCCACATTCCAATAATTCTTATAAAATCATGTCTAATTTTTTTCAAATTATAATTCATTTTTGCCATTTAAAAAATTAAAAAGGAAAAAAACGACATTTTGAAATTATTTTGTTTAGTTTCATTTTTTGTCTTCATCCCGAGACATGGAGGCCATGGGCTAAGCTTTGGAATTGAGTTAAATTTTAAAATAAAAAATAAGGAATCCGTCTCATTAGATAAGCATGAAGGAATATGTACGTGTCCCATTTTTTTTTATAATTTATTATTATTATAATATTTACGTTTATTCGTTGCTTAAATTAATAATATTTTATGGATTTCGAAGACATCATTGCACCACATCAAGACAAGTACTCAAACAAAATTTACATTTTTAAAGAAAGATTTTTTTTTTCTACTTTTTAAGTATTATGTTCTTATTGGGCTACGTACTGGCTACACATATGATATTGCTCATTAGTCAGAAAAATTACACAAAATATTGATTAATTATTCAATAAAATATGTATCAATTATATTCCTTAATTTAATTTTATGAGGTCGGTTGTGTTATGAGAGGAAAAATGAACGGACAAGTGTCAAACACTCAAGAAGCATGTTGATCTGGTAATGTCAGCTTTGATCGAACAAGCACGAGTCAGGTCGGTCACACCCTGTCGTTATCGCCATCAATATGTGTCAATGGTAGAATTGACTGGGCGTAGTCGATACCGTTGCTAACGTCGAAATTAGTAGAGAGAATCTCAATCTTTCTTATCAAACCAAAAGTGTTCWAACTCTATTTTTGGTCATCCATCTATCTAGCATAAGTGATGAGTCTTATTGTTTGGACAAATAAATATCAACCAATATATTGAATTATGTATTATATTTAATTTAACATGGTAATAAAATGCATAGGTGTATATATAGAATAATGAGTACAAATATGTCTATATACAGAGAATTGAAGAACATATATAAAGAAAAAAATATGGGAAGAAAATAATTGGAGAAAGTGTGGGATGAAATTTTGTTAGAGAATAATAATTGAAAATATATATAAAAAAAGAGAATTGAATTAAAAATTAAAAAGACAGATAATTGGAGAATGTGTGAACAAAAAGAATTATTGGAAAAGCTCAAAATAATTAGTAATTGTATGCATGATAAGACTGAGATTCGGAAAGAATAAAACCAACTATTTAAATAATAAATAAATAAATAAATAAATAAATATATATATAAATAGGCTATTTTCAAAATATGTAATATTTGATTTTATACAATATATTAGGATGATTTATAAATATGAGAAATCAGGGGGCAAAAGTGTAAATTAATAAAATAAGAGTGAGTGGCTGGGTCAGCGAGTACTGTTGCTGGTCAAACCAACTGTAAGGATTGAAGGAAGGACGTTTTTTTGTCACCAAATTTCTTTCGCCTCAAAAATCATTGCGAATCTTTTCGACTCACTTTTTATTTCCCTTTTTATTAAATATATTTTAAAACTAAATTTATACAATAGATCTGTACCACCAGTTGGTGGTAAGCCTAACACTATCACACCAAGAATTCAAAGTAGTAAAAGTAAAGTTGGGTAGAATGTTTCTCGTGTCTCTCGTTCTCTTTCTCTTATTTATAGAAGGAGTCTCTTCGAGTTGGTTTAGATGGACTTACTCGATTGAGTTTAGTTGGTTTGGTTTGGGTTGATTTTGTCGGGTGGTCTGACCTAATTGGCTAAATTTAGACGGTTCGACTCGTATCACTTCTTTAGTCTCACTTCAAGTAAACCTAGTACGGTAATTTTACTCGTAACGACGTTTGTTAAGTTTATGAACTTTAAACAGTGGTAAATAAATTTCTAAAGTTTAATTTTGCCTTTTTAACATGTTCACATATTTTTAAAGTGTTTAGTAGGTCTTTATAATTTTGTAAATATATTCAAACATTATGGATTTTTTTTAGTACAACAACTTGTAGGGATTGAGATTCGATGATGTATGTTTTGGCTAGTTGAATTATACTCAAATTGCTAAGAAGGAATATAGAATTGAGATATATTTTTTTTTTWWAAAAAAAAGTAAACATAGACTTGCTTTTGCAAAGGAAATAACGTGTTAAGAGAATTCAAATAGAAGATCTAAACCTATCCGAAAGAAAGACCCAATTTTTAAAAATTTATGGATGACCAAGAGTTTCTTTACCGTTAAAAGTCAGGTAGGGACCTAAACTATGCTATTACACCAATACAAAGTACTTACACCATAGTCTATTGTTCGTTCTTCTTTTCCATACAAACAAATTATTACAATATTGATATGTTTTAAATTATAATTTTTTTAGTTCACATTCATGGTAATAATTATGTGCACATCTCAATTTGTTTCTTCAATACAATTCTACCTAATAATAAATTGCATTGGTCTTAAAGATACTATAATTAATTAACAATGGTTAATTTACAATTCATAAATCATTTTCATGGGTGACATCTTAATTTAGGCAGTTCCATGACCAATTTTTTTTCCCTCCATGGGTCCATGGGTGGAGAATRTAAGGTGGCTCTGACAAATTTATTTGAATTTTATGGAATTATTTACAAAGTCAAGAATCAAAATATGGAAATTCAATTTGAACATGCTGTAGATAATGAGCCATTTCATGTCTTGATTATTGACTCTCTTGGAAAACTTCAAATCAATTAATATGAGGTTTCGGAAAATGGATTCTTTAATAAATTTCGAATACCTATTTTAGTCCATGAATCTTTGATCAGAGTATAATTATATAATCTGATATTCATTTTAATTAATATGTGTGACTGTAGTTAATACATGCCTATGTTAATATGTTCATAGTCACTTTATCCATGTGCTTAAAAAATGAAAAATAACAATGAAGGCCATAATGGTTTTACAATAACCGTAAAAAGAGACTCAAATAAATTTAAACTAAATAATTATAAGTGTTACAGCTAGTCGAACACTCACACGTGTTAGAAAAATCATAAATGGTACTGTCGCCATAAGCTAAATACATAGTTTTTTTTTTTTTGTTTTTTACAAAGCTAAATACATAGTTATAATTTACTTGTTTGATAATTATAAGTTTGATATTTGAACTCTTAAATTCTTATTGTTATTTTTTTAAATTTTTTTAGTATAAGCAGAGATGGTGATTCAAAACTTACGATTTTTTTTTATCGGAGATAGATGTCATAACTAGTTGAGTCATACATTAGTCAAATTATTAAATTGTATCTCCTAAAGTATAAGGATCAAACAAACATAATTTATATTTTCAAAAACTTATATTTGAATCTTCAACGTATTTATGACCACTGGAAAATGAGTTTGAAATAGCAATAAGTCGTTAATATTAGAATTAAAAATTATTCTAAACTTGTCGAGGTAAACCATAGTAGAAAAAAAAATGTTAAAAATAACCTTTCAACTTTAATTAGACACAAAATTAAAAATAACTATCTGAAAATGGAATGATTTGTTTTACAAAATACAAATTTATTATATATTTTTTAAAGGATCCAAAACTTTTAAAAAAACCAAAAGAAATTTTTGTTTTTTTGAGTTCAATAAAAAAAAATGGTTCAGTCTAAACTTGTAATCCAAAATTCATCGTCCCGAATACATCAAGAGATTCAGAAGATAATTGGGGCAAGTAAAGCCAAAGCAAGCGCAGCCATCCACTTCCTTCAACGCCGAACAAAAATCTTCCTCCGCCGCCCACCGATGGGGCTTCACTGCTTCCAAACTCTCAAGCTCGCCGCCTTTCCAACGCCTTCCACTTCCCGTCTAATTTTCAGGCCGCCGTCTCTCAATTCTCTGAATCCCCATTTTTGCCGTAACAAGAGACGACCTCCAATTCCACTGCTCCTTCGAGCTCTCTCATTGCCGGCGCTCCAAGCCGACCCTCCCACTACAATCGCCGGAGAAGAAAAGGGTAATTCATCTTTCTCTTCCATGTTCATCATCGTTTGACATTTCGGGAGTTTGGCGTCGTTAATGTTGTTCTTGAATTGGGAATTAGTCGCCAAGCCCCAATGGAGAGCTTCCATCGACTTCAAGTGGATTAGGGACAACAGGGATTTGGTAGCTGCAAATATACTCAATCGGAAGTCTGGTGTTGATTTGGAACTTGTGCTCCAGCTGTATGACAAAATGTTGAATCTCCAGAAGGTTATATTTGGATTTTGTTTTCACTTTTTCTTTTCTGGGTGTTGATTCAGTTTGTCATTCTTGCACCATTGGAGCTGGATTATTAGGCCTGTTGATGATACTTTCATCAAAATTTTAGTCCCCCAAATATACACCAGGACATACCATCAAACTGTCAAACTATGTATGTAATTTTGAAACCAATGCTTAGCTAACTGTTACTCACAGATACCAGGAAGTCGAGCGGCTTCGTGCAGAAAGGAATGCGGTTGCAAACAAGATGAAAGGGAAGCTGGAGCCATCTGAGCGGCAAAAACTCATAGAGGAAGGTATATGGATTTCTTCTGTCTGAATTTTTCATTAGCTTTATTCTCAATTTCATTGTTGTCAAACTCGCTCTGGTATTTCTCTTTTCAGGAAAGAATCTGAAGGAAGGACTAGTCTCTTTGGAAGAAAACCTTCTTAAACTTACAGATCAGCTTCAGCAAGAAGCACAATGTATACCAAACATGACCCACCCGGATGTTCCTATAGGAGGGGAGGAATGCTCGACGATAAGAAAGACGGTATTTCTACTTTCCAACTCTATATTATATTTCTTTACCTTAATCCTTGTGAATGGTACGTTTTACATTCTGCATTCTCTTTCGTAGGTCGGTACCCCAAGGGAGTTCAGCTTTCCTGTTAAAGATCATCTTGAACTTGGGAAGCGGTTAAACCTTTTTGATTTCGATGCTGCTGCTGAGGTACAATCCTTGTTCAGTTTAAGGTACTTAAGAGGAGCTACTAGTTCACCTTGTTATACGTATATCTGGAACGTTTTATGAAGAGAACTCTTGTTTCGACTTTAGATCCTCACATAACATTCACTCTGTCTTATTTTAGGTCAGTGCTTATCATTCTATGGTGTAAAATTGGAGGACTATATCTCCAAAAGATAAATTACATGTCCTTGCTTACTTTGTTATGTTCATGACTCATCAGTGTTGGTTTAGTTGTTCATTATCTCCATGTATGGCCTTAGAGTTATAACTGTCAAGTTTTGATGCTAACGGGACCGTAGATAAGAGATATTCAGTCCATCATCCATAACTAGGCCTATTCCTATTCAAACGTTGATTAGTTTCCTTACATTTTATGGAAGTGGGAATGATAGGAATGACCTTAAGGGTAATTAGGGATATTATTAGGGTATTGAGGGTATCTTAGTAATTAGATAGGGAAATTATTAGAGATAGTATTATAAATAGAGTGAGGGTGTAAGAAGGAAGGTATCCAATTAGTGAGTTTGGTTTTGACTTGAGTATGAATACTCAAGAGAGGGGAGGGCCCAAGTACCTCGAATTACTTGGTAGTTATTGTAGTTCTTATGTCTAATGTTAAATTTTTCTGGTTTATACAGGTAAGTGGATCTAAGTTCTACTACCTGAAGAATGCAGCGGTTACATTGGAACTGGGTCTTATCAACTGGACACTCTCGGAAGTAATGAAAAGGGGATTTACTCCTTTGATAACCCCGGAAATTGTGAGGTCCTCAGTTGTTGAGAAGTGTGGGTTCCAACCTCGTGGCGAAAATACTCAGGTAGAACCTTTTTTCGCACATCTTCTCTATCCACAGATAAGTAAAAGCAACATTATTTGAGGTCTCTGACCGATAGCTTCATCGTTTCGAGATAATCCCCCAGTAAACCTTGTATATATTTAGTAATTCAATTGACTCCTACTGAGATCTAGCTCGTTTTCAATATACTCCAAGGCCTCAAACTCAGATATCGAGTAGAGTACAAGCTTGACCATTCCAGATGATAATTTCATCCATTAATTGTATATGCTTTCGTTTTGCTAAACGTTGTAAGAAACTCTTTCCGTGGCTAATTATAACATTTCTTATACATATTGATGTGTTTTAACTTTTAAGGTGCCATTTTATAATATAGAATGAGAGACTTCTTTCCATAGTCAGCATCTAAGAGGATTTTAATTACAATTTTTTCACACTCTGCTCACTGCTTGGTAGGTTTATTCCATTGAGGGAAGTGACCAATGCCTCATCGGTACTGCAGAAATTCCCGTAGGAGGGATTCACATGGATTCTATCCTTTCCGAGTCTTCATTACCTTTGAAGTATGTGGCTTATTCTCATTGCTTTCGTACCGAGGCAGGTGCTGCTGGAGCTGCAACAAGGTACAGACCAACATCTCTAAGCCCGTGGTTCCACATCGTTTGAAAACTCTATCATCCTATAAATGAACAAGCCCTGAGTCTGCGTCTCACTTCTTTTATTTCACTCATATCATTACTGCTAAGTCTTCTTTGCTATGTAGTATTTGATATATTAATCTAATGCCGAGCAGGGGCCTTTATCGAGTGCACCAGTTCAGCAAGTTAGAGATGTTTATATTTTGCCGACCTGAAGAGAGCGAGTCTTACCACGAAGAACTCATTAGGATTGAAGAGCACCTATTCTCATCACTGGGATTGCATTTCAAGTAAGAACCTGCTTTTATTTGGGAATTAATGATCTTCGTTGCCACTGCATTGTTCTGTTTTTGGTTGCCCCATTTTACATCATCTCTGTTATCCTCACAGGACCTTGGATATGGCTTCTGAAGATTTAGGTGCTCCTGCTTATCGGAAATTTGATGTGGAGGCATGGATGCCGGGTTTAGGACGATACGGCGAGGTTCTCAACTCTCTCCTCTCTCTCCTCCTTAGTGGGGATATGGTTAGAGCTAAATTGTTTTGAGAGATTTGAAATCTTATTTACGAACCATACCCTGTTGTCCTCAACAGATATCAAGTGCATCGAATTGTACAGACTATCAAAGCCGCAGATTAGGAATCCGATATCGTCCACATGAACCGGTGCCGACAACTTCAAAGAAGGGCAAAAGCAATCTGGCACCTACCCAGTTCGTTCACACGTTGAATGCAACAGCATGTGCTATTCCACGGATGATCATTTGCTTGCTCGAGAATTATCAGCAAGAAGATGGCTCTGTTATTATCCCTGAGCCCTTGAGACCTTTCATGGGGGGCTTAGAGCTAATTGCTCCCACATCTGCATAGGGTACACTGAGGCAATCCCGACTGTTTTTCATTCCTTAAATTTCAGTTTTTGTAGTCCATACGACCTATTTGGATGGTGAAAGAGTGAGGAATTCAAAGAAATTGCTGCAAAAGCCACAGATCATCAAATAAAGCTTTCTCATGTTCTTAGGTTTTGTGGTATGACAAAACTGAGATCTGTTTGGCTTTAAATGCTGTCTCTGTTACTGTTGAGTAACCAGTACAATTCCCTGGCATCGGCTATAAATGCTTGTACCCCTTGATACCCATTGATACCTGCTCACAGCTGAGACTTTTGACTCGTAAACAGAAATTGGTTTGAAAGGAAAGATAGTGTGAACAGAATTTGAACGAAAAATTTCAGTGGATTTCAACAAATTGTACATTTCGAAGTGTGTAAACTATGGCCAATGCCTACAGACCAACTTCCAATACAATTCTCCAAGTGGTAAAGCCTGATGTATAAAATTGGTTTCAAAATGCAGAGTAGCTTTCTTCAAGGCTATCATCTTTTCAAAACTCACTATAACTTGAGTTTGCTCAAATCAACTTTCTTAACTGGGTAGGTGTAAGCCTCGTAATTTATTTGCTGTCCCAAGCTACTTATTTTTGTAAGAGTAGTTATTAGATCAACCTGGAGGAATAGGTCAAATGAGAATATACTTATTGGTGGATTAAAATATCTAAAAGTATGAAAAGACTGAGAGCAAAAGCAGTTAATATGATATTCTATTCCTATTCTTGCCCGCCAAAAAGGGGTAGTTCGTCCATTTTAGAAGAGAAATAAATAATCACGTACTCACCTCATAATCAGTCTGAGATACTGTTTCACGGCTACGTTGATACTTTTGAACCCATGGGAAAACATCAGGATCTGAGGCTAGAAATTCCTCCGTTGCTGCCTGATCAGGACCCAGAAATGCAGACAAAACAGCTAGCTGGACAAACAAGGTTTTAGGCTTCAATCACTAATAATATTTGCATCTTAAGATCATTTCAAGGGTCCTGCATCTTTGTTCCTCATTACATGTTTAGTCTTTTGTTTTAATAGTTCGTTCATATTAACTTAAAAGCACATTATGAAAAATAAAATCTTAGTTCATCCTCCAGGTATAACCTAACATGAACCTCAAAAAGTATTAGTTAAGTCAAAAAGGAAAACAAAGAAACACAATGAAATCACACTTCCACAGCTATATAAACAAATGTGATTTGATCATGCGGTCTTGTCAGGAAATAAATACATCTTATTGCTTTTAGAAACCAGTTATATAAAATAACTCCTCTTGTTCAACAAGATTGTGCTTCTTTTATTTTTGATAACCATGGCCATGGGTGTTAGCTTCATTGTTGACATAAAAAATTTTCCAATCCCACATCATGTCATGATCATGAAAACCATAAGATGTTAATATTGTAGATAGGTGATCGCAACCAAGAGGCCAAGACTTCAATTGTCACCTCAAAAGCATTTGAGTTAAGAGCTTGTTCTCCTCTGATCATCAAGATATCAATGTGAATTAACACGACACTAAACATGCTCTATTAGAATCTATGATAAGGTATACAATACAGCTACAAATATTGAATTGACATAGAACGGATTAATTAAGTTCTTTGATATATATAATCCACAGGAAATCTATGGACAGGTTGATACTTTTAAGGCAGCAAAACATTTCAAATGCAGCTTGAAATTAAGAAACGTACCTGTCGGGGACCAAACCCAATAGCAGAGAACTTCTCTTTCATTTCCTGGACGCTAGCTTTCCCCCAGATGGGAACCCTTCCCTCAGGATCAGGTGCTTCGGCATCTGATCTTCCAAATTGCCTGTCAAACAAGCCCCACTGTGGGCACAAGGAGACACCGTTGTTTGTGTTATACCCCAAATAATAAAAATTTGGCAAATGCACGTATTCTTTTTTTGACATATAATTAGTTGACCACTACTCTAGCATTTATAGGCTGGCTTATGCACAGACTACAATTCTCAGAACAGTGTCTTTTCTCTATCCATTTGGACAGGCTAAGAAATGGCCAACCAATTAGAATGAGAAAAGTGGAGGATCCTGAAATTGTCTCAACCAAATTACAGATTGAAAAATTTTGCAAAAATTACTTCAACAGCTATAAATTATTATGTGGAATTTTATCCACAACAATCGTGTTTGCAGTTAAGCAACCTAACTTATGGTGAAACATGCCCTTTGATTGAGCTAGCACAATCTTCTGTTGTTAATAAACTGATGTAAGAAACTAATTTTCATGATATTTTCTATCAACTTTGGTCTCCATGAACTTTCTTTCTGAATAACCCTATTCACTCTAATACCGCTTGACATGATCAGATTGATTGCACGGATTTGTTGTCTAAGAGCTAAGAAACAGATTTAAGAAGAAAAGTGAACACAGAGAATCAGACAACAATAATAGCGGGAATATCAGCTCAGCACTTTGCCAAAAACAGAGGTTGTTAGCTCAGGAAAGCAGTATCAGTTAGTCCACCATGTAATTGATAAAAGAAGACATCATTAACAGGAATATTCGTCAACCCTCTAGTGATCCTCACTCTAACATCCACCCACCTACTGACCCACTTACGCAGGCACATGCATGTACTAGATGAGTATATTTGTGGTAAACATGCAATGTGCATGCGGCATGAATGTACAAAGAAACCAACCTGCCCGCTGGAACCATACGCAGTATATAACAAATTCCCCTTTTCTTCATTCCCACCACATTTTCTGATGGCAGAAGCTAGAAAAGTGGATTTAGTGGCGCTTTGTGCTGCATAGAGAAAATGAACTAGAGATATTATCATTCTTCTTCAGAAAAGGCACTAGCATTATTATCTATTAGAATACACGAATCACCCCACTCCAACTCATCCCCATTAGGAACTGAAAGATTCTATAAATTAGGGGCTTTTACACTGACAACTTAGTTAGTAACCAGCAGGCCTCTAATTTACTAAAAAAAAAAAAAAAGATTAAAGAAGGTTATCAGAATGCAATTGGCCAAGGTATGGAGAAAGTTCAGAGATGATAAGCATAAGGCATAAAAAACCTGCGAATTGGATAAGATCTGCATAGGAAATGGGTCCACCCTTTGAATACGAATCTATCTCTTTCTTTGCTTCCTCTATTAAACTCAAAGCAGCTGAAAGTTTCTCATTTTCAGGTCTGGAAATCTCTGAACTTCACAGCAGAAAGCATGGAAGAGAAGTCAACAGATTTAATATTGAAAGAAGCACCAAGTTATTACTTTTAAACAACACAGTAGCTAGTTAAATAAAACAAACATTTAACGCTTAACAGTGCCATACGGTGGCTGAAATAATTTTGGAACTAAAAAAAGTGCAAAGATAATGATTTAAATAATAATATAATACCATACTTGAAAAGTGTTGGAGAATCATCATTGACTCACCATACATGCACAAGTATATAATGAAAAGAATGTGGATATTAATGATTTTTTTCTCAGAAATAAGGAAATGGCATCTAAAATGCAGTACCTGAAGCGAATGGATCCATTTGGCCCTCCAGATTTAGTTGCCTACAAATGCAATCAAAACTTATCAGCATCTTCGTTCCAGTCTATTTAGTTTCTTGATGCAGTACAATCAAGTCTAGATTTGTAAATTTAAATAGATGAAGTACTTTTGTCTCACCTTATCATAAGTCACAGCATCATTTAGTGCTAATGTTAAAAGGGAGGGAACGATGTCTGGATCTTTCTGAAATAAAAATAGAAAACAAAGGGGATGAGTATCTCCTCCAAGTGTTTAATTATTAGAACAAGAACATAAATCCTTCAATTTGCATGCTAAAACAAGTTAAAACCAAAATGTTGTGAGAGTATATTAAAAAGATTACATGTACCCTAACCTAACCGATTTAAGCATATAGTGATGCAATAGGTCGTAAAAGCTCAAATCCCCATAATGTCATTCTTCCTTATTTTATACTAATGGTCACATGTTGAATCTCTGTTCCATTATCCAAGCCTAAACATTAGATTATTTGTTGAGAATGCACTAAAAAGGATAAAACAACTTGAGCTAGTGATGATTTATTGGATTTATACCTTAATAGCTGTAAAAAGGGTCCCCTTGATATTTGCTGCAATCAACAATGTAAAAGGGAAATAAGTAAATCCATTACCTCGCATTATATACAATATATTTCAACCACTAGGGAATAGCAACATCATATAAAAAAGTAGAAGCAAACAATAGAATGGAAAACAATAATGCAGACTGATAATATAACTTACATAAAAAATCAGATCGTTGCCTGCGCTGTATTAAATCAGCAGCATAAGCCGGTTCCACCATTTGGTGTGAGCTTACCATCAATCCCTAAGAAGAGGTCGCAACTGGCAGAAACTCATCATCACTTCATTCTAACTCATATAATTGAATTCCGAAATAAGAGTTTTGACGGTATGCTGGGTACAGAGGAAAGAATGAGGTGAAATTGAAAGAGAAAAAGAAATGGCTCTCACCATGGAAAGGGTACCGCCGAAGCCTTGAAGAAGATCTCTTCTACTAAATCGATCCTCGCTGTTAGAATCCGGTTTGATTTGGCCACAACGAATTCTGACCTGAAATTTAACGCGACAGAATGTAGGATCAAGAATGCGCTCCGCATTATGGAAGAAAGGGAAGACTTACAGTGTGAGAAGAGGGAGATGGTGCAGCTGGGGCGGTTTGAAGAGGAAGAAATGAAGGCACGGTAGAGAGGAAGGAAACTGCCATTTTTGGCCTGCTTAGAGCTTCCTCTCTCTGCAACAATGGCGGAAGAAGAAGAAAATGCAAATTGCGAACAGATTCTGTGGCGCTATATTTGTGGAGACTGGGAGTTTATGATCAATATCCTCATCCGGACTCCTCCACGTCAGCTCCAAGGGATGGGACTGGGACCCATCATATTATCTTGCAGCTTCTCTACGTTAACCCTCCATCATTTAAACAATAAAATGATAATTTGAAAGTCCAAAAATCTATAGGTAGATAATCTAAATAAAACTTTTTTTTTTACAATATTATCTCACATATAAAAGAAATATAATAATCAAAGGAAGAGAAATAAATGTCTCACCACTAACCATATTCAATACTCATTCATAGTTTGACTAAATTTTAGATATTTGAACTTTCCATTTAAAGATAAGTAATATCATAAGGGCTATAAAAAAAAGGTAATATTATGAGCAATTGAGCTAAAAATAAAGAAAAAAAACTGAAGCACTTTATTGATTATATAAATGTCTATTTATGTAAATTACAAGGCTATTAAAGTAGAAAGGAAAATGTAATGTAACTTTATCAGATAACATTCAATGTTATCATTGAAATCTAAGTTGCTGATCACTGACAAAAATTTTGAAAAATAATGCATCTCTCTTTTGTTGTAGTCAACAAGTAGATGTTGACCGACCAGCACTTAGAATATTTTTCTGACCAATCCGCATCCTGCAGTATCCTTTCTTCAATTTTCTAACCCTCAACTGCTGCCTGTATTCTCGTGATATACACACACTCTGCCATCCGCAATGCCTTCTATTCACACCCATACATCAAAAACTTTCATCTGCGAATGAAAGATGTTTGTGAATTTGATTTTTCTCTCTGACATAGACAATCGGGCAAAGGATTAACATAAAACGCTTCTTCTGAACGGAACCTTTCCATTCCCTTACTTCCTGAAATGGGGCCTTTTCTTTTCCTTGCAGAACCTTGCCTGCAAAAACCAGAGAACAGTCATTGTGTTTGAAGTACTACAATCTTTGTTTTTGTACAACTTCTCTTGGATAAAACAGAGACATACTTTAAATTTTCCAACATTTATCACACTAATGTACCTTCTCTTGTGTAATTCAATAATTCGGCTGGCTAAATTATCCCCCTCTTTCATGGTTCCTCGTTCCAGTTTGTCAAACAGGCGAACGAGGACTTTCCTGTTGGGTAAAGTTTAGAGGTGACATTACAACGGATTCAGCAAATATTATTGTGAAAGTTATGGCTAATATGCACAAATGAATTCAGAATTATATATACATATAAAGTCTTGCCTGTCTGGTGATATTGTCCTCCTATGTCCAAGGAAACGGCGGTGACCTTCGACTGCCCTAGCCATGTTTCCAGAATATGAGGACATAAATACATCACTTTCAACAGATACAATGTAGTCTAGAGCAGCCATCTGAGATGCGTGATGGATAAAAGGTGCAAGCTCCTCAGATGATAATAACAATTCCTGAAGAATTGAGGAGAAGAAGCAACATTGGATGACTCTTGAAAGAGTAAAATGTGTTTTGGGCCCACTAGAAACACATTTCAAAAAAATTTTAGTGTTTGGTTAGATAATTGAAAGTGGATTCGCTACACTAAAAAAAAAAAGTACTTTTAGGAGCACTTATATATTGAAAAAAAAAAACACTTCATTTTAGAAGTCGTTCTCAACTCACACTAAAAAAACACAAAAAATGTGGAAATCAACAAGCAGTATGATAATACAAGCACTTACCTTCCTCATTAACAAGGGATATCGTGATTGAAGATCAGACATGTGAGAATCACCCCCATATATATTGCCGGCTGCAATGTATATAGTAGTATTTGATGGGTATCCAAGAGCGTTTAGAAAAATTCCAACCTCCTTTGGAGTAAGGGGGCAATACCCTTTAGATCTTTGTTCCTTGGGATTGATGTTTTTCACTTTCCAGTAAGATGTGTTCTCCCTGAAAGTTTTATTATAGGCAAATGTCAGGCTTCCAATTATCACCATCCATATTGACTCAGCTGTTAGGCCTCTATACCTAATCGTCCTCAGCTCGTCAGCTTCAGCAGGAGACAAATCATGTGTGCATCCACTGAATGAGAGCATATCCTTCTCATACCGTAAATGTAAAGCAATGTAAGGACCATAGGTCCTCATACGACCCACCAAAAGCTGTCAGAAAAATAAGATTCATGAATTGGTAGAAAATATTTCACAAGAAAGAAAGTTGACAAACTAAATCACCCCCACCAAAAGAGAGAGAGGGAGAAGAAAAGAAGAAGGGAAAAGAAATTCAGGCCTGTTAGTCAACCTTTCCCATTGCTTCAATTTTAGGTGCAAAACGTAAGGCTTCATAACAAGCACGGCATCGCAACTTCTGTATGTCAGCAGGAAGGTTGTTATTTGCTAAGCGAGAATCTGATTTTGCTGCTCGAATAACCTGAGACAAAAATAGAAATTAGCAATTCTAATTGTTGGGAAAGGTACATGGACAAGAAAATGTTTAACTCTACCTGATAATCTTCCCACATGCTAGCTATCTCATCCTGGTAGTAATCTATACCAGACCAGCTTCTAAAATGCTTAACTACTCTTGTAGCGGTAGCTAACACCTTGGGAAGCTTCTTAATGACTTTTACATCATTGGAAAGAGCATTAATAAAATGATCTTGATCAAAAATATCTGAGAAGTTGCTGCATATTGAACATGCATGAATTGTAAAACTTCATATAAACAACAAGAGACAAACTAGAGATGAAAGAAATCTACCTAGAGTCCTTCCAAAATGAGTGTTTGTCAAGTTCGGGAATTACAAGGGTTGCATTAATTATACGAGCTATAGCTACCATGTCACATATCTGCAATTTAAGGATGAGAAATAATCTTAGTCTCGAAAAATGTACACTGGATTTCACACAGGAATATTTTCACCTATGCTTAAGATATGTGACGTGAAAACATAAAATACCACGGAATTAACTTATTGATCAAGTTGATCCATGAATTGATGAGTATTAACTCAAGTATCTCTCTCTGAGAGAGAAATGTAGTACTAATATGCGCATTAGTGTTTAGAAAATATATGAGATTACATATTACAATCTCCTAAACTGTTATTATTTTGTAAGGATTATCTCTTTACATGTATTTTCTAACATTCCCTCCATGATCATTTCATGTCCTCCCAAAAAAAAATGGGAGTTTCTACCAATTACTGGTTCTATCTCTCAAATATATTATTATTCTGTGGCTTTGAGAGATTTTTATGACTTCATTTATAAGAGTGAATAATTGGATGTTATTAGTTTTTCTAAGTAGGAACAATTCAATATTCTCGTGATGTTTCAACCACCAAAACACATTTATTTTTATAACACAATTATTCAATCAACATGTTCTCCCAGAATCAAACGTACAAAATCACATATTCATCTATCATAAATGGAACTTAATTTGTATGAACAAGAAATTTTATTCATACAGACGGCAGATAGTGAGGAGGATGAGGAAGAAGGGGCAAAAGAGGGATTACATACCCCTGCACGCATCTGATTAAGCCCTCCATTCGCATGAACCAGAAGGTAACCTCTTGACTCTCCAGGAGCTGAAAGATCCACGAGAATAAGCATACTAACGTAGATGCGCAGTAGTATTTTGTGATGAAAAACAAATAGCGACTCCAACTTACTTGAGTAATTGAGACTAGGCTCAGTGCAGGGAAAGAAATCACGATTCGAAGGAGGATCCCAAAGATCATCAAAAACTGAGGCCTGGCTGCCAGCAACACACTGTTAGTTCTAAAGAAGTGAAAAAGACGAATACGCATAACTACTACTTAGAATTTGTAAAATACTTAAATCTATCAAAAGACAGTGAAAAAGAGTGAAGCAATCATAAGTCCCCTATTTGGTAAGGTGCTCAAGTTTTGGATTGAAGAATGACTTTTCAGTTTTTACCTTGCGAACAGGACGAGAGGCTCTCAACCAATGTGGTGGTACCAGTTCTTGTGTCAAGCTTTGCTTTAGAGCCGGCCTCTGAAATTTCAATTCACGATGCTACAAAAATGAAAAAAGAAAGCTAAAAGAACAATCAGGCCGGGAAACATTTTATAACTGCACAATCTGTTAAACCATTTCCGAAAAGAAAGAATACGAAACAAGAAAAAGTAGTACTGAAGTAAAGAAATCGAGTACAAAAATATAAAGTTGATTCCGATTTCCGAACAATAAAAAGATTAGCCCAAACAGTATCGACAAACTGCGCCTAAGCAGAAAACAATCACAAGAAAATGAAATTTAACGCAAAGAAAAAGATCGCAATCGCAACACACACGAACTACATAAATAGAAAACGCTGCAATTAAACAAACAGAAAGAGCAAGCGAGAAGTGAATTGGAGTTTGGTGATCACCGTAGGGAGCCTGTCACTGCGAGAGAAGATCGGAACGTCTCTGGACGAAGGAAAGACCTGGACCGGAACAGAGAGTACGACAACTAGCGCCATTGAACACATGGTGCACGTTAGAAGCTTTCTCGTGACCAACAACGCTCTTATTCGCCTCCTCTGCATCTCTCAATCTCTAGAAACCGATACGAGAAGACGAGTCTCTCACTCAGAAGCTCGGTGACTGAATCAATGGCGGCCAAGAAATTTACAGAGGCAAAAGCTCGGGCGAAGCAATGGGGTTTTGGGATGAGTTTCGGTTTCTCTGCACGTTGCCGCTCTGTTTTGGGCGGTTTCCTGACTATTTTCTCGTTAGCATTTGGGAAGGCGTGAAAGTTATTTATTTATACGAATTAAATTTTAAAATAATTAGCACCTGCGGGTCCCACTGGTACTCCTTTTTTCACCAAAAAATGAAAAAAAAATCACAGTAATGACAATTTATTTCGACGCGGAAAATAGAAAGATATATTTTTAAAACCCACGTCCTTTTAATTTAAGGGCAATAGCAAAAATATTACAAAAAGATTTAGTCAAAGGAGCCAAATATCAGTCCCATTTAATTTTTTCAAATATAGTATTTTTTTTTAAATGAAAGTCTAATTTTATTCAAATTATATATATCTGTAATATATTTATGATACATCTAACTACTGATATATGTATGTGATATACACCTAATATACTACTGATATGAGTGTATGCATAATATGTATGTCATATACATATAATATACTATTGATACGAGTGTTTGATATATTACTAATATGAATATCTGATATACTAAGCGAAATTTTTTGCTATATTTAAAAATTTAAAAAACAGATGACATATTTTGAAATATTTTTGCTACCAACTGTAATTTCTCTTTAATTTAATTGATTGAGATATTATTTTTTATCGCGAGTTTGAATCTTCATCCCTGTGTATTATTATATTGAAAAAAATAATAGTTTAAGAATCCTTTTCAACAAAATAATAGTTTTTTTTTTAAGAAATCAACCATATAGGAAAAAAAGAGTACAATCTACATTGACATATATTTATATTTATTCAAAGAATTGGAAAATAGGCCTTCAATAGTTGATCCATAAAATTTTAAAAGTGTTTATCAGCTCCAAATAATTTTTTTTTTACCAAATCGAGCATAACTAAACGATAGTTGGCATATATCTCCAATCAAAAGCTTGTGAGTTCGATTCCGCACCGCACATGTTGTACTAAAAAAAATAGTTACTTTTTAGAATCAAGACTATGTGATGGATAATTTAAGTTAATATACTGTGCGGATTAAGATGATTCTAAATTTTAAAGAAAATAATTTAGAGAATTTTGAAGAATAATATTTTTTTTTTCAAAAAACAAAAATTTATGAGAATGAGAGTAAAATACATGTGTGTTTGTTTGGTAGGATTTATATATAAAGATATGATGAAACTACAGGTTATCAACATACCATCACATGTTTTCTAGTATTTTGAAGTTCTTATAATTGAGTTATTGAAAATGAAGCTGCAGTTTGTTAGTATAGATACTAACTATCAATTCAGAATCGATTCATTCTCTATATTCTGACATCACAGTTAGTCATAAAATAACTTGTTATTAAGCTACTTTTATATACAAAATAAAATGCTTATATTCAAATTAATTTTACTAAAATAACTTATTTATTGAAGGTGAAAAATAGGGATTGTAAATAAGAAGGATATAGAAAGCTTGGGTCCCAATGCATCACCTCCCAGCTCGCGTCACGTGCTTGTACGATGCACGTATATTTATACGCACAGCATGCATTTAACCACGCACGTGCCTTAACCCATTCCCCTTCCATCCTTTTTCGCTGTCGGTTCTCATCTTTCATCAAAATATAACCTTTTCCATTAAATGAAGAAAGAAAAAAGCTGTCTTATTTGATCACAAAAATGAACAAAGAATCGCGAAATTTGGAGTACTTTATGACCAACGAATAGAAGGAAGGGCAAAAGAGAGAAATAACTCCGACGTATACGTTCAAGTTCAATACTTACTCGATCAATTGAGCGAGAGAGAGATTAATTTTGCGTATTTAAGAAGTGGGGTGGTATTCCCTATTTATAGAAACAAGCTCCTGACTGGACATCCAACAATGTTATAACTGCTCTCTGACAATTTCGAGAATTATAATGTGTTGTCCGAAATTAAGTTGGAGGTTTGCACCTACCGTTCCTCAGGAAAGTTCGATCGTCCTTTGAGAAGGTTGGTCGATGTAGAAGATATAGGTCAACTTGGCATTTAAAAAAACCTATAAAGTATGTAACCTAACTCAACTTAGCTTTTAAGAAGATTCGAGATGTTGTTTTCCTTTCTTGGGATTTGTTCCTCTATGTGAATCCCTGTTATTAATCACTCCGGTAGATGAGAAATCACTTCCAATATATCTATTAAAAACAATCGAAATGGTTAATTGAAAAAATAAATAAATTGCAATTATAGAAGTGAAAAAAAAAAAACAAAAAACCTAAAAATGCCAAAAAGTCTAAGTAATCATTTTGATATTAATCTTTTAAAAAAATTTAAATATACCATTAAATATTTTAATATGTGAACATGGCACAATAATTCAATCTTTGGTAAAAATTGATCCAACTATCAACAAAATTTATTTTATTCCTTGTGACATTCTTATACATCAAAATATGTCATAACATAATTCTTTAATAATGCATTAGCTTTACTTTAACAAATTTTGATAGATTTTTATAAAGGAATAATCTAATTGAAAAAAAATTAATAATAAACAATAAAATTGATAATTTTTAAAAGATGCGTGGTTTTTGTATTGTGTTTACCAATCCCATATATATATATATATATATATATGACATATTTTTCAAGTCACGTAAACATCATTTTGTCTCTCTAGTTTTCTTTTTCTTTTTTATTTTTCTCCTTGTTCTAGAAAATAGCTGGATTATAACTTTTTTCTGACTTGAAAAGAAATTAAAAAAAGAAAAAAGAAAAATTTATGCTTAACTTGTTTGTGTGGTTTGTTAGAATAGAAAGAGAAGACTTTTGACGTGCTTCTTAGGACAGGAATCGGTCTCTCTCAAAGATTTTGTCAACTCCCTCTTCTCATCTTTTTTTGTCTACGTTAAATACTACCAATTTGTTTTAATATTTCTGTAATTGATTTTTCATAAACAAAAATCTAATCATATGTTCAACAATAAATATAATCATGTTAATTTAAGTATAATTCAAATAACTATGATAATATATCTTTGATTAAAATAAAGTTGGAAATTCGAACTAAAAAAACATACTTTTTTTAGTAATAATTGAAGGAAAAATAAATGTTTAAATATTATTTTGATCAATGTACTTCGGTGTTTATAATTTCAAAATGTTCGTTTTAACCTATATCTTTACAATTTTGTTAATTTTAGTTCCAGTACTTACAAATTTTCATTTTGGTCTCTAACTTTTAAGAAGTGACAAATTTGATATTTATTTATAAAATTAAAAAAAAAAATCTTATACACAGTGAAAATAGTTTATACAAATTTATAGCTCCTCCTCGAGAAATTTAATAATTTAGTAAATGAACTGTTATGATAAAATTATAATACAATAAATAGAGATAAAATTAAAATGAGAGGACAAACATGGTAATTACTTCTAAAAAATACAAAGATCAGAATGGTTATTTTAAAAGTGAAGGATTAAAATCAACCAAATTTAAAAATATCATAACTAAAATAGACATGAATGGAAATGGAAAGAAAAAATAAATTTTGAATTTTGAGTAAAAAAATTAACGCATATATTATTTATTATTATTATTTTTTGCGTGGAAACACATATCGAGTGGGCCCCGCTCCTCATTCTCTTGTTTCTTTTCTCACTCTCTCACGTGTCCAATGGAAACAATCCCACGTGCTTTTGCGGAGTTCTCGAGTTTTGCGGAACGACGTGTCGGATCGGAGCTTAGCCAACAAGAATCATTATAGATTTTATCGACTTTTTCGATTTTTTTTTATTTCGCAAATTAAAGTTAGGTGTGTAATTAAATATATAGATATCTTTTAGAATTGCTAATAATTAAATATTTAGTGGTGTTAGTGAGCGTAGTCAATACGGAGCAAAACGCAAATCAAGACCCCAAACTCACGCTTAATCTTCTCCTTTAATTCCACCTTGACTTGAGATTATGTCTCTTATTGTAATTTATTAATAAATATTTTCTTCCATAGATTTTAATTTTGTTGTTGTAATTTGTTGAGTATCTCGTATAGTCGTTTTCATTTATTCAATGGTCACGTATTTCAAGAGATGGCTTAAAACTAATAGTTTATTATCCAATGTATTTTTCCGTTATCATATCTTATCCCAAGAGGTATTAGTATTTATCAAATTTATCCTTATCTAACTAAATGTTATCGAATCATTTACAACATAATTGAAAAAGACACTCTAGATTGAACACAAACAATAGTTGCCTAATATAGACCTTAAAAATTAATGGCATCATCTAGCAACAAGAACAATCCCATTTACCACACATCTCAATAAAAGGAAAAATAATTCACTCAACTAATGAAGGATGTTAATCCAAATTCATGATCTAATTTGATAAATTTTAAACTAAACTCACTCAATTGCAAGCCTTAAAACTTTTAAACAAAAGTTTAAGTTCATTGTAACACGTCAATATCATATTCACGCAACATTAAAAAATCAACTCATCACACTTGTACAATTACAAAGTTTCTTCCCGAATGAGATGTATAAAAATGGTGTACAATATAGATTGATGAGTTTATGAAATGATAGTGAAGAAATTCATACTATAAACTAATACTATTTTGATCCCTATACTTTCAGCTTTGGTCTACTTTGTTTATTGTACTTTCAAAATGCTCATTTTGGTCTCTATACCTTTAAAATGCTCGTTTCGGTATAGTACTTTTAAAAAGTGGTCATTTTAATCCTTATTTGTAAAATTTAACACAAATTCTACACATAATGACATTTTTTTAATATAAAATCATGATTACATTTCAAGAAATATATTGAGTGCAATGTGTTGAAGTTATGTAGGAAAAAAATGAGATTTAAAATAAATTCAAGGGACCAAAATGGTCACTTTCCAAAAGCATAGAAACCAAAACGAACATTTTGAAAATACAATGACTAAAATGAACTAAAGTTGAAAACACAGAGACTAAAATGAACTAAAACTGAAAGTACGAGGTCCAAAATAATATTTTAACCTAAAGTTTGATTTATCACAATTTATAATATCACATTATAGGGGATGGGGGGTAGTTTTTGGGTGTAATGGAGTGGTCCAATTTCAATAGAAAGTACCAAAGCATGGGTAATGTGTTCAAGGAAGATTGGCAATGAAATCCACAAACCATAGTGCTTCCTTTTATTTTATTTTTTTTTAGAAAATAAACTATAGTGCTTTGCTTACTTACTTTCTTCCCCAAAATTATTAATATATGGTTGTGCTTGAAATTAATGGTTTTAGAATTGAGTGTTCAATTAAATAGCCATCCAAAAATAAAAATGATGTTGAATGGAAATCTCCACCCCGTAATTTCTATAACAATAATATTTTTTTAGGATAGTGCAAGAGGGCATTTAAGAATACTTCAGAAACATATTATTTGAATTTGTGATCTTTGTTAAGATTAAATCAATGTAATTTGCCTTTTTTGGTGGAAATTGAACCACATAAATTAATACTAAGAACTAATTTAACAATCAAACGCCTAGAGACTTGAGAGATATTAAATATAATTTTAGGAAATAAAATAAACTTAATTGAGTGATATCCAAATGTTAAATAAAGTAGAGTATGATCCAATCCATATTAATTTGATAAATATGTTGTTGGTGAAGCATGTGTTTTTGATAAATATGTTGTTGGTGAAGCATGTGTTAGCAAATGAGAGATATATTTTTTTTAACCAAAACGAGCATAGTTCAATTGTAATTGGCATATACCTCAAACTAAAAGATTGTGAGTTCGATCCCCACTCTCATTCCCACATACTGTACTAAAAAACAATGAGGTTGTTTTTAGTGGTAGGTCGTCTTATAGGACTTATTGTTAAATGGACTAAGTTGTCTTCTAAAAACAACTTATGAAACATTATTTTTCAAATAAATTTGGACGTGCAAATATTTTAAAAATTAATTTATAAAAAAGAGTAATATTAGAAAAAATCTTTAGTATAGATCTCCCCATCGTTTATTGAAAATCGAAAATAAATATTTAATTTCTTAAGTAGAACATTAATTCATGAGGCAGAACTCATTAAATGAAACTAATTAATAAAAAAAAAAGTCTCACAGAAGGGAAGGCAACAGTAAATGATGGCCGAAGAAGAATGGGGCGATTTAATTGGGCGTGAGAAGGGAACTGCGTGTCGCTTTCCTCTTCAAAACATTAGGGTATTGGACAGTTTTAATTCAACTTTAGCTTTCCCTTTCTTCACCATCCGCATCCAATGCGGATCAAACATAACTCAATGAGGTAGAGGTAAGACATCTATGTCCTGAATTCGAATCCCGACCCCAACATATTATCGAGTTAAACAAAATGACCACTATTCATTCACCAACTTTTCATCCTCATCCACCCACACATTGAAGTTTGGTTTGTATTGGGGATTATGAGATTCAACAAAGTTTGGATCGAGATCTCCAATTTTACAAGGGGGCATTTGGTGCGTGAATTCAACTTCCTTTCAGGAAATTGGAGAAGCCAATGAACTTGAACAGTACCGTACTATTTCTACCTCTCCGCACATAGATCACCGAAACCTACATCTCAAATGCAGAGCTTATACCCTCCACTAAAAATATCATACTTAGGATGTTGAACCCGAGCCCAAAAACACTCTCCTCCCATGGTGTTCATCCAATCACATTCCATTCCACCAATGCATCGTAAGAATTCTTCGCAAGTCCTCAAGTCAAAAGCTAAAATGCTTCGGTCCTCATAAAGGCCCGGCCATTGAAAAGAAAGTCACTCTATCTAAGCTAACTACGAGACCGGATGTACGAGTCAATCAAAAGGAATGAGGAAAAAAGTTGACACTTAAAAAAATGATGGTATACTGGCCCCTAGGATCTCAACAAACACAAGCTGAATACTGGTACTTTATATATCTTCACACCTACCAAAATTGATGGCTACTGCCAAGTACTAGGAATTAAGAAAAGAGTAAAGGGATTAATTTGGTATAATTAAAAATAGATTAATAGCAGACATTTAAAAGTTGGAACTAATTTCTATTACCCCTATTTCTCCTTGACGTGACTTGAACCCATCCATCTTCAGCTTCAGCTGTAGCCTCTGGGTTGGGCTGATAGACACGCTTGGGTTGTGAAGTAGAATTAGATTGGTATTCTATGGCATCCACCATCATATCTGACGAACCATCATTCCTCATGGCATCTCTTGCATTTTTAGCATCGTCATCATCGTCTTCCTCTTCTTCATCGTCACTCACAACCTTAATATTCATCACAATCAAGATTAGAATATGCTTTATAACGAGAGAATGTTTGTTTTACACCATGAATGAAATATTTTCTGAAAAAATGCAATAATGATCCATAAGCTGATACACTATAACTGCAAAGGTGGCACTATTACTCCTTCAGCAAGTTTTTTTGGCTATAAGTTATGGCAGTGTAGACCAAGGAATGAGAATCAGCAGAGCTAATTTGTAATCCCAAAATCACACTATAGGATAGCGAGTTCCTTTTAATATATATTCTTACTTTAAAGTGGAACTTTCAAAAGAACAGTTTAGGAAATACTTCATGTTACCTGACTAACATGAGAATGAGCAACCCGTGGTGGTTGGGATTGCATTAGATTTTCAATAGATTCATAGTTACCATCCAAACAATCCTCATACATATCAATCATTTTGTCAGCTACCTGCATCGTTGGATAAGAAACACAAGCAACAAAAACCCATTAATAAAAAAATCTCAATTCTTGAAGGAGCAACTGTTAGAACCCAAACAAGAAATACTAGAACTACCAAGTAATTTGAGGTACTTGGACCCTCCTCTCCTCTCTTGAGTATTCTTACTCAAGCCTAAACCATACTCACTCCATTGGATACCTTCATCCTTGCACCTCCATTCTATTTATAACAACACTCCCTAACCACTTTCCTATCTAATTACTAAGGTACCCTCGATACTCTAATAATATCCCTTTATTACCCTAAGGGTGATTCCTATCATTACCCGCCCCTTAAAACACACCTTGCCCTCAAGGTGTGGCTAAACAAAAACTTTTTTTTTTCAACCACAAAAATTGGGATTCAGCCTTCAACAAAAAACTNAAAAAAAAAATCTTATACACAGTGAAAATAGTTTATACAAATTTATAGCTCCTCCTCGAGAAATTTAATAATTTAGTAAATGAACTGTTATGATAAAATTATAATACAATAAATAGAGATAAAATTAAAATGAGAGGACAAACATGGTAATTACTTCTAAAAAATACAAAGATCAGAATGGTTATTTTAAAAGTGAAGGATTAAAATCAACCAAATTTAAAAATATCATAACTAAAATAGACATGAATGGAAATGGAAAGAAAAAATAAATTTTGAATTTTGAGTAAAAAAATTAACGCATATATTATTTATTATTATTATTTTTTGCGTGGAAACACATATCGAGTGGGCCCCGCTCCTCATTCTCTTGTTTCTTTTCTCACTCTCTCACGTGTCCAATGGAAACAATCCCACGTGCTTTTGCGGAGTTCTCGAGTTTTGCGGAACGACGTGTCGGATCGGAGCTTAGCCAACAAGAATCATTATAGATTTTATCGACTTTTTCGATTTTTTTTTATTTCGCAAATTAAAGTTAGGTGTGTAATTAAATATATAGATATCTTTTAGAATTGCTAATAATTAAATATTTAGTGGTGTTAGTGAGCGTAGTCAATACGGAGCAAAACGCAAATCAAGACCCCAAACTCACGCTTAATCTTCTCCTTTAATTCCACCTTGACTTGAGATTATGTCTCTTATTGTAATTTATTAATAAATATTTTCTTCCATAGATTTTAATTTTGTTGTTGTAATTTGTTGAGTATCTCGTATAGTCGTTTTCATTTATTCAATGGTCACGTATTTCAAGAGATGGCTTAAAACTAATAGTTTATTATCCAATGTATTTTTCCGTTATCATATCTTATCCCAAGAGGTATTAGTATTTATCAAATTTATCCTTATCTAACTAAATGTTATCGAATCATTTACAACATAATTGAAAAAGACACTCTAGATTGAACACAAACAATAGTTGCCTAATATAGACCTTAAAAATTAATGGCATCATCTAGCAACAAGAACAATCCCATTTACCACACATCTCAATAAAAGGAAAAATAATTCACTCAACTAATGAAGGATGTTAATCCAAATTCATGATCTAATTTGATAAATTTTAAACTAAACTCACTCAATTGCAAGCCTTAAAACTTTTAAACAAAAGTTTAAGTTCATTGTAACACGTCAATATCATATTCACGCAACATTAAAAAATCAACTCATCACACTTGTACAATTACAAAGTTTCTTCCCGAATGAGATGTATAAAAATGGTGTACAATATAGATTGATGAGTTTATGAAATGATAGTGAAGAAATTCATACTATAAACTAATACTATTTTGATCCCTATACTTTCAGCTTTGGTCTACTTTGTTTATTGTACTTTCAAAATGCTCATTTTGGTCTCTATACCTTTAAAATGCTCGTTTCGGTATAGTACTTTTAAAAAGTGGTCATTTTAATCCTTATTTGTAAAATTTAACACAAATTCTACACATAATGACATTTTTTTAATATAAAATCATGATTACATTTCAAGAAATATATTGAGTGCAATGTGTTGAAGTTATGTAGGAAAAAAATGAGATTTAAAATAAATTCAAGGGACCAAAATGGTCACTTTCCAAAAGCATAGAAACCAAAACGAACATTTTGAAAATACAATGACTAAAATGAACTAAAGTTGAAAACACAGAGACTAAAATGAACTAAAACTGAAAGTACGAGGTCCAAAATAATATTTTAACCTAAAGTTTGATTTATCACAATTTATAATATCACATTATAGGGGATGGGGGGTAGTTTTTGGGTGTAATGGAGTGGTCCAATTTCAATAGAAAGTACCAAAGCATGGGTAATGTGTTCAAGGAAGATTGGCAATGAAATCCACAAACCATAGTGCTTCCTTTTATTTTATTTTTTTTTAGAAAATAAACTATAGTGCTTTGCTTACTTACTTTCTTCCCCAAAATTATTAATATATGGTTGTGCTTGAAATTAATGGTTTTAGAATTGAGTGTTCAATTAAATAGCCATCCAAAAATAAAAATGATGTTGAATGGAAATCTCCACCCCGTAATTTCTATAACAATAATATTTTTTTAGGATAGTGCAAGAGGGCATTTAAGAATACTTCAGAAACATATTATTTGAATTTGTGATCTTTGTTAAGATTAAATCAATGTAATTTGCCTTTTTTGGTGGAAATTGAACCACATAAATTAATACTAAGAACTAATTTAACAATCAAACGCCTAGAGACTTGAGAGATATTAAATATAATTTTAGGAAATAAAATAAACTTAATTGAGTGATATCCAAATGTTAAATAAAGTAGAGTATGATCCAATCCATATTAATTTGATAAATATGTTGTTGGTGAAGCATGTGTTTTTGATAAATATGTTGTTGGTGAAGCATGTGTTAGCAAATGAGAGATATATTTTTTTTAACCAAAACGAGCATAGTTCAATTGTAATTGGCATATACCTCAAACTAAAAGATTGTGAGTTCGATCCCCACTCTCATTCCCACATACTGTACTAAAAAACAATGAGGTTGTTTTTAGTGGTAGGTCGTCTTATAGGACTTATTGTTAAATGGACTAAGTTGTCTTCTAAAAACAACTTATGAAACATTATTTTTCAAATAAATTTGGACGTGCAAATATTTTAAAAATTAATTTATAAAAAAGAGTAATATTAGAAAAAATCTTTAGTATAGATCTCCCCATCGTTTATTGAAAATCGAAAATAAATATTTAATTTCTTAAGTAGAACATTAATTCATGAGGCAGAACTCATTAAATGAAACTAATTAATAAAAAAAAAAGTCTCACAGAAGGGAAGGCAACAGTAAATGATGGCCGAAGAAGAATGGGGCGATTTAATTGGGCGTGAGAAGGGAACTGCGTGTCGCTTTCCTCTTCAAAACATTAGGGTATTGGACAGTTTTAATTCAACTTTAGCTTTCCCTTTCTTCACCATCCGCATCCAATGCGGATCAAACATAACTCAATGAGGTAGAGGTAAGACATCTATGTCCTGAATTCGAATCCCGACCCCAACATATTATCGAGTTAAACAAAATGACCACTATTCATTCACCAACTTTTCATCCTCATCCACCCACACATTGAAGTTTGGTTTGTATTGGGGATTATGAGATTCAACAAAGTTTGGATCGAGATCTCCAATTTTACAAGGGGGCATTTGGTGCGTGAATTCAACTTCCTTTCAGGAAATTGGAGAAGCCAATGAACTTGAACAGTACCGTACTATTTCTACCTCTCCGCACATAGATCACCGAAACCTACATCTCAAATGCAGAGCTTATACCCTCCACTAAAAATATCATACTTAGGATGTTGAACCCGAGCCCAAAAACACTCTCCTCCCATGGTGTTCATCCAATCACATTCCATTCCACCAATGCATCGTAAGAATTCTTCGCAAGTCCTCAAGTCAAAAGCTAAAATGCTTCGGTCCTCATAAAGGCCCGGCCATTGAAAAGAAAGTCACTCTATCTAAGCTAACTACGAGACCGGATGTACGAGTCAATCAAAAGGAATGAGGAAAAAAGTTGACACTTAAAAAAATGATGGTATACTGGCCCCTAGGATCTCAACAAACACAAGCTGAATACTGGTACTTTATATATCTTCACACCTACCAAAATTGATGGCTACTGCCAAGTACTAGGAATTAAGAAAAGAGTAAAGGGATTAATTTGGTATAATTAAAAATAGATTAATAGCAGACATTTAAAAGTTGGAACTAATTTCTATTACCCCTATTTCTCCTTGACGTGACTTGAACCCATCCATCTTCAGCTTCAGCTGTAGCCTCTGGGTTGGGCTGATAGACACGCTTGGGTTGTGAAGTAGAATTAGATTGGTATTCTATGGCATCCACCATCATATCTGACGAACCATCATTCCTCATGGCATCTCTTGCATTTTTAGCATCGTCATCATCGTCTTCCTCTTCTTCATCGTCACTCACAACCTTAATATTCATCACAATCAAGATTAGAATATGCTTTATAACGAGAGAATGTTTGTTTTACACCATGAATGAAATATTTTCTGAAAAAATGCAATAATGATCCATAAGCTGATACACTATAACTGCAAAGGTGGCACTATTACTCCTTCAGCAAGTTTTTTTGGCTATAAGTTATGGCAGTGTAGACCAAGGAATGAGAATCAGCAGAGCTAATTTGTAATCCCAAAATCACACTATAGGATAGCGAGTTCCTTTTAATATATATTCTTACTTTAAAGTGGAACTTTCAAAAGAACAGTTTAGGAAATACTTCATGTTACCTGACTAACATGAGAATGAGCAACCCGTGGTGGTTGGGATTGCATTAGATTTTCAATAGATTCATAGTTACCATCCAAACAATCCTCATACATATCAATCATTTTGTCAGCTACCTGCATCGTTGGATAAGAAACACAAGCAACAAAAACCCATTAATAAAAAAATCTCAATTCTTGAAGGAGCAACTGTTAGAACCCAAACAAGAAATACTAGAACTACCAAGTAATTTGAGGTACTTGGACCCTCCYCTCCTCTCTTGAGTATTCTTACTCAAGCCTAAACCATACTCACTCCATTGGATACCTTCATCCTTGCACCTCCATTCTATTTATAACAACACTCCCTAACCACTTTCCTATCTAATTACTAAGGTACCCTCGATACTCTAATAATATCCCTTTATTACCCTAAGGGTGATTCCTATCAGCAACATCAGGGTAACAAATATCACTTTTCAGAGGTAATAATAATACATGATAATAAATTTGACGATCTCAATTCTCACTCAACATTTATTATCACATCCACGTTTTCTCTATTTGTATATTATTCTTCTACTTCAACCAAGTATTCTAATAAAAGAGGAGGAAAACAAAAAAATGAGTGTGGTGCTGGTACAAAATGTGATTGGACAAGTTTATTAGTATGTAACTTTTTAAGTTACCTCCTACAAAGAGGTGAAAATGACTACAAAGGAACGAAATTGCCCTTCAACGTGGATGTAAAAGTAAATAGATTTGAAAACTAATGAACTACATCAGGTTCCACTAGGAAGGTATTTATACAATCACCATCGTCTTCCAAGCATCTATCATCTAAAGTCAGAGACACAACGATAAACAGCTAAAACTAAAAGTTATAGACAGGAAGTAAATATTCAACAGCATCTCAAACTATTCCAACCAACAAGACTAAGAGGTAGAAGCAATTTTTTCTTAATTTCCCTGACAGAACTTCATTTATAGAAATCAGATTGAGAACCATCAGAAGTCGGATTGGGTAGAAAAACCATCCATCAACACTAGTTAGTCATTAGTAAACACAATATCCAATAAATTTAGTTGATTAAGAGGATGAATTTCAAAACTAACCAGTTCACACAAATATCTGCATTAACTAAGTCTTAAATAACAGCATGCTACCTCATCATGTGGAACAAAAAAGGACCCCCTTAGCTATGAGAAAACAGGATTTCGTCAAAGACTAACAAGGATTGAAAGGTATATAAATGTGCATGTACCTCCTCGATGCTACCATCATCAACCTCAGTATTCAACGAAAGCATAGCTTCGTTGAGAATAATTTCTAAATCATCGACATAAAGGGTCTCTGCAAGATAATTATAACTTTCTCAGATCAAGATAATCATAGGAATTATTCCGACATAAAACTATAAACAACATGCTAACATGGTATCAAGTTCCACTACGAATCAACCATCATCCAAAAAAATTCAAAATAACTAAAGAGTATGTTAATTTCTTCTAGGAAGAAAATTCAGAGCATTGATTGACCAAAGTGAATATCAAAGATTCAAAATACGATCTAGAACTTATATTTCTGAAAGAAATTAACATGCCAGTACATGACAGCAGAAATTATACAATTGTTATTTGAAGAAAAATCATACAAGTAATATCGCCATTTGATGATTTCCATTTCCCATGTCTATAGAAACTACTTCTCACCAAAGAAACATGTAATCGTTTGAAAAGTTACAGAATACTGGGCCAGCGAAACTGATCAAACAACAGAATACGAGCTGAGGAACAATGCATGAAAATAGGTACCAAGGACATCCAAGGGGATGGGAGCAAAATTACCTTTGTTTTGAGTAAACCACGTGAAAATATCGGAGCACAATAGTTCCGATTTACGAAGCGAGTCACGACCACCCCATTCATTTTCCACCGCCAACTGAAGAGCTGACCAACGAGATAATACACACTTGATACCTCCCTGGAATAATGGAAAAGCATCTGCTGGGAGACGACGATTTGCAGGGTCTTCCATCTCTTAGCCTCCAAGCGTAAAACCCTAATTATCAAAGTGCGAGTAGGTTAATTAGAGCAATACCCTTTTTTCCTTTACCATTTTTTTTTTAAAACTGGGTTCAAATTGCTCGCGATTTATAAGGTTCAAATTGCTCCTAAAATCAAGCAATCACAGCATATCAATCCTGCTATCTTTGAGACCAAAAGACGCACTTCTTTTGGAATTTAGATAATTCTTTCTCAAATAAACAAGTACCTCGTGTGGCGAACGACGACGGACGGCGTCGACGGCGAAGGGCGACGAACGGACGGCGGGCGAGATCGTGAGAGAGATGAGAATGAGACCGTGAGACTGAGAGAGGGAGAGACTGAAAAATGAGCGGCGGCAGATCCTACAAAAAAAATATATATAGTGGGCCGGTTGGGTTCGGTTGAACCAATTATTTTGTTTCCTGAATATGCAAAGCGAACCGGTCGGTTCTCAAAATTATGACCCAAGGATTGCTCGATTTCTTTGGATTATCGAGTTTTTTTGTACCGCCTTAATAAATATTTCGTTTTTTATTTTTTGCTTCATAAGACTGGACGCGATTCTTAAAAACAAACTTAAACTTTTTAAGCAGATTTAGAAAACAAAAATTATTTTTTATAATTTTAAAATTTAACTTAGATTTTAAAATACTTTTAGAATATAGATAGCAACACAAATAAGTATTTATAAACTTAATATTTAAAAATAAAGTGGTTATTGATCGGATCCTAAATTTCCGATAAAACTTCTCTCCTTATAATTTCTTTTACAGTAACATATATACAAGTGAACTACATAGGAATTATGCAAAATAAAAATAACACTTGTCTATATGTTACTGGACCATTCAATACTTTCTCCCGAATCTTACCGAATGAAGTTTTTTCCCTAAATTTCTCTACAAATTTTATATACACACATACATAAAAAAAACCGAATTTTAGGTCAAATAAAATACAAATTTCAACCCTAATATGATAGAGTATATATAAATAAAATAAAGTGATAATAAGATTCTCATAAAAAGATTACTCATTCGAAATATAATAAATCAAAAGTAGGAACCATTTTTCGTCAACTCGATGGGATTTCTTGCCAATAGCATATTTGGATGGATTAAATATAATAGTTTGTTTAGCGTGGATTTATATAGTTGCTCAAAAAACGTTATGGGAGTTATTTAATTTTTAGTTCTAACCATACGTGTAGGTGGAGATTCGAATTTCTAATTTTTTGATGGATGATATACATACTTCAACTAGTTGACCTATATCAGGTTAGCAATTTCATGAGATTTCTTATTACACTTTCGATTTAACTTTTTAAATAAATTTGACTCTATGACATAAATGTAATATTTATTTTTTTAAAATGTCACATTTTTTTTTAGTATAGCATGAGTTTGACTTTTTGTTAAGTGTATTCTATCTCGCATTTGAGTCCACTTTGAATTATGCTGCCTTTTGTAATTGTTGAAGTTTAAAATTTTTACTATATTTAAAAAATACATATTTATTTTGTGTCGGTGATGTAAATCCCTCCATTTGTATAGACTCAAAGAGCATATTTGAATTTAGAAAATTTTTTAAAAAATCAATCCTCCACGGTTGCTAGAATCACACTCTCACATTTTCAATTCGACCAATTGAACCCATAAATTTATAAAATTGTTACAATTAAAATGTTAAATACTGTCGAATGCACAAACTACCCTTGAACGTTGAAGATTGTTACAACCATACCAAATTTGTTAAAATTTAATTAACATAAGTTTTTCTTTAATTCTATAAAAAATAAAATAATTTGTAGTATTAAAACCATTGAAAATTTTGATTTTCAGAACGAGCTAAGTGGACATTTCAACTAAGAAAATAATGTGTTTTTAAAAAGAAAAAAGTAAAAAAAAAAATTGATGTAAAAAATTTGGGTTTAATTATAACAATTATATAATTCATAGTTTTAATTGTGACAACCCTCAAAATTTTTTTTTCCCGTAAGTACACTACGTGGGATGAATGATCAAGCGTATAACCTTCTGACTAGAGATAAATGTCAATTATCACTAAGTTATACATGTTTTGACGACAATCCTTTAGAGTTGAGGAGTGGTCTGTCCGTCTTAAAATATTTAAACAATAAGATTAGAGAATTACCCCTACAGTTCTTCCTTTTTGCAATTTTCACATTGAATCTGAAACAATAATAATCAGTTAAAAGATTTGAGAGAATGTCGGTTTTTTTAATTCATGGATTATGGTTTTGTCAAAGCATAATTGCTTAGGGAACGTGGTTACAACTTACATTAATATATACTACGTATTTTGAATACCCATGCAATAATTAATTGATTGACCGTACGTGTCCAATGAAAACTCCAATAAACCATAATAATCTTTGTTCCCAATTCATATTGGAATTAAATTAAAATAAGTTAGATATTTCTATTTATATATTACAAAAACGGATCTGCCTTAGATTTTAACAGTTTAAAGTAAGATAAAATCGAGCCGTCGTAGGAATTAATCGTTTTTTTTTTCCCTTTCTAGTCCGAATCAATTATATTGAGATTTTAATATATATATATATATATATATATATATATATATATATATATACACACACACATACATACACACATAAATGGTGTATATAGCCAACCAAATATTATAAAAATATTGTAATTTCAAGTCCTCCGACTCATATGTTGAATAAAAAAAATGATGTGTATGCGTATACGAACAATTACAAATGTAATTACGATATTTTTATTATGGTTCGCATGTGTGTATATATAAATTTAAAAAAAAAAAGCGCAAAACCCTCATTAGCTTGGTGAAAATTTGTTGGTCTTTTAAAAATAGATTCATAACTATTATTTGGTTTAAATCTCATTAATTCATTTCAATCTTCGAATTTTAAGTTATTATAACATTTTTGTTCATGAATTTTTAAAATATTTATTATTTTAGTCCCAGCTTAATGTTTAAGAGATAATCATTTTGGTCCTATCGTTACTATAATTCTTTTAATAAAATTGTTAACATTTGAAAACATGTATTAATTCTAAATATATGTTAAAATGGACACATTTGAGTCCCATATGTTGATTGAGATAAGTATTAAAAGTAGCTAGGTATATATTAGGTAGAAAAATAATACAAATATTTTAAATATTTAGAGACTAAAATTATTAGTATAAACGGGCTTTAAAAGGTTAAAAACTAAAAACGAGATTTAAACTATCATTCCATGATCCATATTATCTTTATTTACATTCTTACTTTTTTTTATAAAAAAAAAAATACTTTTCTTAGCCTTCAAAGTTCTTATAAAATTCTGAAAAATATTTTTAAATTAGATAGAAAATAAAGAAAAATATTAGAATAATAAGTATAATTTTTAAGAACAGGAACGAATCACATAAATTTATATGTTTAGAGCTTTCGATTTAAAAATAGTAATTAACATAATTTTATCATCAATTTACAACCCCGTAAAAATTCGAAACAAATAGTAGATAGAAATTAAAAAAAAAAAAACGTTTGTAGAAGAGATCGAATTGAAGCATCCTTCGCTAATGATTTGTATGATTTAACTTTAATCACATATTTACAGAAAACAAAATTATTCTCAACTCTATCGAACCCTAACGATTCAATTGAAACAAAAAACGAACGAATGAAATCACAAGCTCTGATTCGCGAATCTTCGAGTCAGCGAATTTTCGCGAATCAGAGCAAGTTTCTGTTCAGCCATGCACGTCCCTCCGCACCACGACTTCTCGCGTGCGTCAGTTCACAACATCTTCCATAATCGTCCGCTTCGTCCTCGGACGATTCAGAAAAAACTTCGACCAAAACCCTAAGTTACTCCTCTTTCCGTTATCCTCCTCTCTTCCACGTCGAAATCTCGGCGCGAACGCCAGCGATTTACTCTTCTTAAAGATCGAAGAAGAAATCGGACGCCAATCCATACTGTAACTGTAAAGATTCGGCGAAGAACACGAAGAACAGGACGAAGCAGAGGAGTAACAAGAGGAAGAGGAAGAAGAGGAGAGAGAATCGGAGGTTTTACGCGACGATACGGAGGCGGAGAGATGAGAGAGCTTCTCGATCAAACAGAGGGAGCAGACGCCGGGGGATTGGCGGTGTTTGGGATGCCTTTTGCAGCGGCGGCGGTCGTCGTCGGGCTTGAAATTGAGCTTCGATTTGTGCGGGTTTGCCATTGGAGAGGATTGGCAGAGCTTTGGGAGAAATTTTTGGAGGGGAAAATTGAAATTTAAAGAACGCGGTTAGGTAAAGAGGGAGTGAAGTTTCATGAGAGAGTTCATAGGAGCCTTCCTTTGGATCTTCTACGAAATAGAGCGCTTTGACGGTGAGGCGAGGAATTTTGAAAAGCGGAAAAGTATGACGTGGACAGATGGACCCATTTTATTGGYTTAAACCACTCGTGGGGCCCGCTTTTGAATTCTTTCAGCCGCTACGGAAAAGATTGCGATTTGCGAAACGACTAAAAACATTTTTTTTCTTTTTTCTTTCTGTCGAGGCGGCGTGGAAATTCAAAGCGCTACGCTAAAACGCTGTCGTTTTTGCTTTTGATAATATTTATCAAGGATTTGGATTTTGCTTGCTTGTGACCAAAGGCAATTTTGAATTGGAATCTTTCAAATTTTTGTGTCCTAGAGGATTTGGTTTTCAACTAAAACAATATATATTTTTTATAAATATAAAATTAAAAATATGAGGTGGGATTTAAACTTTTTACCTAAAATATGTTATTGATATTTTAGGACTAGCTTTTTGAAAATTGAACTTAGAAAAACAACTTTTATCGAGAAAAAAAATGGTTTAACATGAAAAATATATCAAATAAATTGTGAATAAAGGATACTAATTTAGAAAAGAAAAAATAACTAAAAATGAGGGGTTAATTATTCGGATTGTGCTCAGAAAATAATAATTTTTTTAGTACAACATGAAGGGTTAGATATCAAACTCACGATTATTTTTGGCAGATTTTTWATTTTAATTTTAGGTGAGATATATATTATAAAAATAAATTTTGGAAAATGTTAATTTTTCTAATTGGGATCTATATTTAAGTTGAAAAGTAAAACTAAAATAGTCTAACGACCTAAGTGGTGGAGAATTTTGGTAAGAAAGAGGAATAATGCATTTATTATATTCTTGGTATCCTTTTTAATTTTTGTAGCGTAGTATTTAATGTAGTCATTTTATAATTTGGGCAAGTCATAATTGGGTTACTGTATCAGCTTTTCCACTAACATTCCTTGAAGAAGAATAAAAGAAAAAGGAAGCCACTTTTGTTTCTAAGAATAAAGTTTAAAATATATATATATACTACTTTTTATTTTAGCTTAATGATAAAGTTTTTAGTTTTAAGATCTAGTAGACTATTCAATAAGGCAGATTACTTTAATATTATTTCACAAGTCAGAAAATTTCAATACAGTACTAAAATATGCATTATTCAACTTGACACATATGACATAAATTTAGATTTTTAGAGTATAAACAAAGTAAGGAAAACGAATTATTCCTTAGTGGCAAAGAGTCAAAGCAACGTGTTGTGGATTAGATTTCAAAATAAATGAGCGTTTTGTTGGATAGATAATTCAAATTAAAAAATAAGTGATAAATTGAYATGATTTTAAAAACAATTATGTAAATGGTGTTGTAATGTGTATAAATAAGAAGGTTTATGAATAACATGAAACTTAGCTCAGCAGTAATTGGTACCTCTTTCTGATCAAGAGGGTCATTAATTCAAATTCTCTTACTCTACTTGTTGTACTTAAAAAAAAGAGTTTATTGGAAGAAAACATAATTTCACGATGCAGAAGAATATTTATCATCTAGTCTCAATTAATTTTCATATTGTTCAGAGCGATGTCTATGTTCGTGTTACGACTTGGCAGGGCAGTGTTTATTCTAGCTCCCAACCATTTATATAATAGATTTATTCTCATAAATGAGTTATTATTGCTTTATCTCGTTTATAAGGTATATAATGTTCCTTTTGCTTGTATATTTTAGTTATGTCGTTCATTTTCTTGTTAATGTTTGTTGCAGTCTTATTCATGAATGTCTTGAGGTTAATTATATGAATAAGATGTCTTTTTTTTCCGTGGCAATATACTTAATCTTTAGGGAAAACAAATAAGAATGTTTTCTTTTTGATTTATTAAAGCAAAAAAAAAAAAAAAAAGAGTGTCCACGTTTGCATGCTGTGGACGTGAATAAAGAGCCGACAGTGATATGCATCGTCAGGACAAGAGGCCTCTGAGATATTGTAACAATTTTGGAGCAATAAAGTCAAAGTCAAACAAACACCATCTCTCGGTTTTGGAAAAATAGGACTTTGTTTCCCCTTCTATAAAACGTGAACCAAATATTATACTTTTCTTTTCTCTCTCCGGTGATTGTGGTTACATACAAGGAGTCACGAGGTTGTTTATACAACAAGTATAGAAAAAATTACTGAATCACGATCTTTTAGTAGAAAATAGATGACTTAATTAGTTGAATTAGTTAAAATTGACTTATAAATACATCTTAATAATGATTGAATATAGATACAAAATATGTGTTTAAATAATCGTTTTAAATATATTTTGTAATTTCTCTTTTGTACATTGAATCATATAAAACTACTCATACTTTCATATGCACAACCATAGTTTACAAAATTATATCTTTTTTTAGTACAACATTACAAAATTATATCTCATTTATACATTTAGTTATTAAATTATTTATTCTATATACAATTTTTAAAAATAACATATCCAAATCAAATTATATTATACTTAATAAAATTATTAACAAAAATTAATTTAAAATACATCAAATAAGACATTGGTGGATGAGTAAATTTTCTATATTAAAATTTAAAATCTTTTAAATATATACTTCATTTAAAAAAATATTATTAAGAGATTTTTTTTGAAGCACAACAAATATGGATGGAAGGATTAAGTCTTCTATTTGAAAGAGAGCAATTGATGTATTATCCATCGATACAATTTTGATTCTTTTCAATTACGAGAATCTTTTTTTTTTTTTTATTAATTTTGAGTTCAGCAATCATGAAAGATAATAAATATCCTATCCACTACCCAATGTTCAAATTGAAGGGATTTTTTAAAAGAAATTTACAAATAATAACAAGCGTGCGTATACCATATGTTCAGACTCTCGAATTAAGAGACAACCACAATAAAATTATAATTTCATCATTTTTTTAATTTATAATAATTAGACATTTTCCATAAATTGGGAAAGAGGAAAATAAGAAAAACATACTGTAGGCGTAGTTACAACTTACAGGCGAGATCAGAAGTAGAACTTTGACTTCAAAATCATTCAATCAAATCCACGTGATAAACTCAAAAGGAAAGCTGAATCAAATCTTTAGTGGAATAATTTCTATTTGAAAACGTCATTAAAGTTTCTTATATTAATAAAATAATATCTTTGGTTTACTAATTTCTGATTTAATAAAAAATTTTGTTATTAGAAATTAAATAATAACAAGCAATTTCGTTTAACATATATTGAGAATTACTTGTACAAGAAAAAAGTCCACAAAAAGGGGCTAAGATTGGTCTGCAATTACCAGTCTATCTATCACGGGATTACATCCCTGAGAAAAATTATGCACTTGCGGTTCTCTCTTGACATATAAACTGCATTTTAGAAGGAAAAAAACAAAGCAAAAGCAAAAATTGAAGAATGAGAAGCCTGCTTCTTCTATTCATATGGGGCAGGGGTTTTATACATCATTCCCCCGAATCAGCTCGAGTGTACAAAACCTCTAAGACTACCCCTGTCGATGCCGACCTAATCGTCTACGATCAACATGAAGCCAATTGCTACTGAATGAAAAGACCACATACCTCTTCGTTTATGATTTAGCTGATTCACTGGCCTCGCTCGTCTTTACTTCTGTTGGGCATTGAGATACATAGGGCTTCAGCTGCAAACATAGAACAAACCATATCCTTACGCAGATTTCAATCATCATCTACAGACCTAAGTAGCAGATTTCATCCTCAAAATTGACTTCCATAGCTAAAGAGAATGGTGTTTAGTTATGCCAGCCAATGGTGCAATAAAAAGGGGATGACTTGACACTAACGGAAGTTTGTGGTGTTTTCTTCTAATATGAAACAATAACTTTTTGTTACCATACTAAAAGAACAAAGGAGAGAGGATAGACTAGTTGATGAACAAAGAAGGTAACTTGTCGAATTTATCCTAGCAATACAGGCTACAGTATTAGAATATTTTAACCAAGTTCCGTTGTTCTCAACAGCAGAGAATATTGTAGCTCAAGAAAGCTCCAATCGATCCATCCAACCAAAGAATCATACATGGTGAACTGCAAGAAATCTCAGGGAAAGAATACAGATAAGGAATAATTTCAAGTTGCATCTCCCCCAGCCCCATTCGATACGACAAAAGAGAAGACCATACTAAGTAGGAGACAGAAGAACATATATTGGGGAAGAATAGTTGGATCAGGAGGGCGTTTTGGTTTTTTTTACTGATAATTAGGGGCCACCCTATAATGAAATATTTTCAGTCAATGACAAACTTTTGCAGGTTGATCTTCCAAAAGTAAGCAAACATATAAATACATTAATGCCAGTTGGCGACCAAAATTCAGCATGAAATTGAAATTGTGAGGCGTTGGGAACAGTCGATCTTGACTTTTTAAAAATGCTTTTTTTTTTAATAAGAAACAAGAGAGATATGTATTAATCACAAGAAAGAACAACCTAAGGGAAAGGTAGAGGAATCCCTTCCCAAGGAAACTATATCATGAAGGCCTTCCAATTCTGAAGGATGGAGAAAAGAGAGTAGCTACAAAAGAATTTGCTAAACTTTTTAAAAATGATGAACAACATCTTGTTATAAAGAATTACAACATAACTCTTACAAGAGAAGCAAAGTCTCAAAGGTATCAATATGCCAGTTAGTTGCTCTATCACCAGACAAGAACAAATTTCCTTAGCACAGACAAAAGTGCCCTAGCTCTGCTTTCCCCACAAGCATTTAACTCAAAGCATCATTAGGAAACTGCATAAAAGCTCTCTGAACTAAAATCACACATGGAGCACACCACATAATAATGGATCAAAATGAATTAAGGAAAGAATGTAATTCAGAATTCAGAAAACCATCTTAACCTAATAAGACTTTAAAGGGAGACCCAAAACCACCACAAGAACTATAGGTAGCACACAAAGCCAAAATCGATTCTGGAATCATATTCAGAGAACTTTGATGAAATCAGGTGTCATGAGGGGAGAGATCAGTTCTAAGTATAACAATGAAAAACGGATGAGGAAAAATACCTTGAAATCAGTCAAATCAGGAACGATATAGTTAGGCAGTTTTTCTGGCACCACTACGTATCCACCTGAAAGAAATTTTTTACATTTTAAGCAACCTCACACAATAATTACAGTTATAAACGGCAATTTGCAGTCTGATATTTCATTTCGTTTCCTATTCTCGACTGAAGTCAGGAACAGTTAGAAAATGGTTCAGGAAACATACAAAGACTAAAAATCAATCACATCCCATTCCTAGAAGCATTTTTTAGCTTCTGAACTCGTTCACTAATCATCACCTAATTACATTGAATCTTAGAGACACTAACTCCTTCAAATTCCTCACGCTCAATGACAGTGGCACCAAAATATAATTGACTTTCGACAAAGCAATCAACTAAGCATTATACTTAACACGCATTCTGGGAAAAATCATCCAACATTTTCCTTGATCCGGTGAAAATACATAATCATAAAACCTAAAATTAGATTAGAATCTGTGCAAGACGAAACCAATCCAGACCTTTGCGCGTATGAAAACCAGTAGGCTTGCAGTTCTTGCCCTTGTAATAATCCCGTGGAGCTCGTTTCGACGAAAGAATGTCCAGAGAAGACGTACGCTTCCTCCGCATCGCTCTTCCGAGTCCCAATATCAATCCCAACGCCATTTCCCCCGCTGATTAGTCGCCCCACGCTCAAGAATTCAAGAACAATGTTAGAAATCCACAGCGGCGCGGCGGGGTTTTGAGTTCGACGGACGGATCCCCTCTTATTGGATCTACAAAATAAATGCCGCGTAAAGCCCAAATGCTGGGCCTGTAGTTTGGGCCTAGGCGCAAATGTCGGGTCGGGTCGGGTCGAATACGGTCAAATGAGATGGGTTGTGGGGCCCAGATGGGGAGTGCATGGGAATTTCACAGAAGGCGCTGCATTTGTTTTGGTCCATCTAAAGTTCAATAAAAGTGGAAAGCCGTCGAAAGCGACTCGTCTGTGTCGGTTCGACTTTAGCATTTCGCATTTTCCCCCCAATAAAATATTCATTTTTTTGGGGCTAAAATTTCAAAAACTAAACTACAAGATGACGTGTAGTTTTCAACCTTTATAATTTCAGTTTAATCATTAATGGCATTGTTGGAAGGCAACTCCCGAGGCCAACCTGTTGGGAGAAAGCCAAGTGTCGATCTAACAGGTCGGAGTCCAATACTTAGACGTACACGAGAGCACCTCAAGTGCCCCGTCTTGGGATAGGAAAGGGTCCAAGGACACCCATTTGGACCGATGTTCCTTGACCTGTCACCCATCCGAACAAGGAAATACCTTGACTGGAGAGATAGCTACCTGCTATAAATAAACCACCATCCATCAATCCAAGTACGAAAATCTATCTAAGCTCGGATTTCACACCAACTTGGGGAGTACAGCTCGCACCGACCTCACAAGTCGCACCATAGGACTTAAGCAGATTTTGGGTATATTTTTTTTAAATCAAAAATTGCATCTCTATATTTGGATTTGGTTCTAATTTATCCTCTATAGTTTCGACCTAATTTAAATATTATTTGTATAATTTTAAAATTTTCAATATAATCTCTATGATTGGGTTAAACTTCACAAGTTCGTCTCGAACTATTTTTTATCCACCTAAAAATCTATCTACTTTTTTAGTTTAAATCAACTTAGACTCTAAGTTGTAACATGTTGGGATTGCAAAGTGTGCAAATCAAGTTTTATATTTGTTATGGAAAATAGTAACTATGGTATATAGATAGGATAATAATCTTCATTAGTGTGAGGTCTTTTGAGTGAAGTAAAAAACAAATCATGAGGGTTATATACCAAAAGTGGACAAATATCATATTATCGTAGAGATACTTAGGGTACCGTTGTCCTTAACAATTGGTCTAACAAGAATAATTAGGTTGGGGTAGATTGATAGGAAGTCAATCATAATCGGGTACACTGATAGGAAGAATGGTGTAACTTTGTTCGAGCGGAGGTGATTGAAGGGGTGATAAACGATACCAAATGTTCCCACAATGTGGTCTATGTAGCAAGTGTTCGTGCTGTATAAAAATAGACTCTCGTAGATAATTATCTCTATTGTTATGATGCATTTTTTGTGAAACCAAAAGCAAACTCACGAAGGTTATGTCCCAAGTGAATAATATAATATCATTTTAGAGGTACTTGGTAGCAAGTTAAATAAAACAAACACCAGGTGATTAAATATGGATAAAGAAAAAAAGCATGTCATGTATTTATATGAATATAACAAATGGAAAATTTTAAAATATAGAACTAGATTGAAAGTAAGCACAAATCATAAATAAAAAAAACCAATATAAAATAAAATTAGGCGTTATTTGATTATGAAATTAATTTGTTGGGAGAGATAGTGCATGTGGAATGGATACTAGTGGGTACCCTTTTTTTTTCCTTTTTTTGGTTAACAATGCTGTGGTCCTAAACTTTTAAGGAGATTTTGTACCTCCAAAAGTGCCCTCTTTTCTTTTTACTTTTTTTTTAAAATTGTTTAACTTTGGTTTTGATTTGATCGGTTGTGGTATTGGTTCGACTTTGCTTTCTACCGATCCGATTGGAGTCTGTTCGATAACGTGGTCACTCCTTTCATGAATGTATAGTTGGTAAATTAAATTGCTACAAATACTAAACAAAAAGTTAAAAGACTAAAACGAACCAGCCAAATGATTGGATTTGATTGAGTTGTATTTGTTATTTTAGAAACTTACACACGAACAATTGATGTGAGTCTAAAAAATACTTCAATCCAACGTCGGTGACTTTTTTTATTGCTTTAATTTAATTTAATAATTTGATTGGGAGATGCATGGAAAACGAAGAACAAACAAGAATGAATCCCAGTTGGCAGTTTCATTTCCGGTAAAAGGAAATCTGTGTTTTCATCTTCATTTCCCATTACCCACTTTCTTTCCCTTTCCTTTTCTTTTTCTTTTTTTTCTCTTTTTGCCTTTGTTTTGCTCTACAACTCACTCACAACCCTAAAGTTTGTCCCATTGCTTTCACAAGCCTGACTTTGTGTAGCCATTGTCGCCTATCACTCTCTGCAATAATATTGTCCTAGTTTATTTTTTATAATATGTCGATATGTCTCCTATTAATAGAGATGTGTTCTTTTCATTGAAACAACAATTTAGGATGTGTTTCTGAGTGATAGTAAAACTAGTGATTTTACAAAAAGAGATTTAAGTATAATCAATTTTTGTCAAACACGATAAATAGAAAAGGAAATGATTTTGACAATAACATCATTCTCAAACACACTCTTGTCTTTAGATTAAATTTTGTAGCAATTTAGTTTTCTGACTCTTAAGTACGTGAGAGTCTTGACAAGTGCAAGTATTGATCTTTAGGTTATAACAATTCAATCTAATCTAATTTGAAAACATATTTAGCCTCAAGTTGGTTATAATAAACTTAAGGAGACAACTTTTTTTCTTGATATCCGTGATTATCCAGAGGAGCTTATGTGTACCTCGACTAATTTCACGGATAATCACCAATCTTACAATATTTGGTGTCAGTAAACACATAAGAATTACTAATTCCTGAAATGGGTGGTCATGAAATTTTAAGGAGACAACCTTTAAACTACATATACTAAAATCGCGAAAAGATTTAAAAGCATAAAGGACTAAAAAAATTTATTTTATGGATCAAATATATTTTTAACTTAGAAAAAAAAAATTAACATCTTAACCGGTTCTAAAAGTAATAATTTAGTTTCTAAATTTGAATAATAATTTAGTCTCCAAACTTTAGCGTGTCTCAAATTTCACCGATTTGGCCCGGGACTAAATCGTTATTTCGAGGCTCCTTCTTCTTTGCTCCTCCACTGTTCCCCTATTCTTAACCAACATGAATTATATTGGCATCCCAAGAAATCTTTTTTAAACAACAAAGAAGAAGAAAAAAGAAGATGAAGGATAATTGTTAAAGATGGAGGAGGCATCGAATCAAATGGGTTTACCAGTGGAGAGATGGAGCTTGATCCACAGAACAGAAATTGCAAGTCTCCTCTGCATTAAACAAACTCTGCTCCTCATTCGTCGCCTTCATAAACTCTCTCTGATTTGAAATTTCAAAGCAATTCATCATCGAAGTTGCAGAACAGTTATCAATGGCGGTGAATTCTCTTTGAATTTTCATCTCTTCGCTCTCTCTGCTTACTTTTTCCCGCAACTCTCTCAGCTGCCAACAAATTCCAACATTATAATTTAAAATTGGAGCATAAAAATGCAAACCCAATTCGGGAAATCAAAAAATGGAGCCGATTTTGAGTACCTTCGAAGCAAGAGAAGTGTTCTGTTTCTCAAGAACATCGTAATCGAGTTTAAGGGCATCGTAATTGACTTTAAGAACTCCATAATCTCTCTCTAATTGCTTGGTTTTCCAACGGGCTCGCCGATTTTGGAACCAAATTGTCACTTGCCGTGGCTCCAGCTCTAATTCTGCTGCAATCTTCAGTTTTCTGTCAGGTTCCAGCTTGTTTTCCACTTCGAAATGCCTCTCCAAGGCCTTCACTTGATCCAGCCTCAGCCGCCGTTTTCTCTCCGGCGCCGGACCGCCGCCGCCGCCGTCCTCGCTGTTCTCTTCTTCCTCCAAACTGTCTAACATTGCCTGAAACTCCTTGCTGTAGCCTCCGGCGGTGGTGGAGCTCGGTTGCTCTGAAAACAAAACCAAAAACAGAGACTCAGAAAACAAAAACAAAAAAAAAACAGAAAAAAGAGAGTTTTTTTTTTCCTTTTTCTTTTGGGTGTTTGGTTTTGAGGATTACTTACCCTTTGGAGAGAAAATGGAGATGAAAGAATCCAGAGATTCTGAATGGCCAAATCTCTTCATCACAACTGCAAAGGAATAAGATGGCCAAACAGAGCAAAATGGTGGGATTTTTATTGGGGCAAAGATTTCAAAAAAGTGTATTTAAAAGAGAACCAAAAAAACTTATAATTTTAAAGTTCTCTCTCTAATTTTTTCCTCGCTCCTGCAACCAAAATGATGCTGCTTCTGTCTTTCTCAGTTTTCATTTCTTGAATTTCATGAGACAGAGCCAAGCATTTGGCTGACAAGAAACTATGGTGGAGTTTTTTTTTTTTTTTTCCTTTTTGAAGTGACATGAAAATATCTTTAATTATTGTCTAATCATAATGGATCAATGTGAAAATAATAATAATAATAAATTGTTTTATTTATTTATTGAAATGGTATTGGAAGGCTTTTTGGTTTTTGTTGTTTTATATAATCAGACTTATTCTCTTAAAAAGGACTAAAAAAGCATCGGCCCCTGCTTTATAACTCACTTTTTTGGGGAGGGTTCTGATGAAGGACCAGTTTTTGGCTTGCTGGTTTTGCGACTTGGGTTCTACACTGCTTTCCCCTTTTCCCTTTTATACTCTGCCAACACAATTGTTTTCTAATTATCTTTTAGTTTGACACAACTGCAGTTTCTGGAATTGAATCTTTCGTTTTTGTAACCTGTACCCTGTTTATTTATAGTAAAGTAATGTTCCAACCTATTTCTTCTTTGAATTTAGTAAAGTAAAATTCATATTGTTGCCGGATCAACTAATTCTGAATTCTGAAGTTATTACACATATAATCACGATCAATTTGATGAAAATATTTACGATCTACCTCTGAGACGATAACATATATCTTATCCTAAAATAACTCAATTAGTTAAAGCATATATTCTTAATCCTTCACTCTAACGTGTTGTTGTACTCACAAAAACAAAAAATGAAGTCAACCCATTAAAGTTCTTAACAAAAATTCATAGAAGATTTTTTTTCCCCAAAGATACTGTCTCTATGTTAAAATGAGCGTGCATTCAATCTGACTACAGTCAAACTTGTCCAACAAGCATTACATATATGATGCTATATTTTAAAAAATGTAATTATCTAGTAGTAATTAAAAAAATGACAGTATTATACTTACCTACACACAAGTCAATTAAAACTCCTACAAAAGCTGATCAACTAAAATTGTTGAGTCAAAACAACACGCCACATAAATTTTTTATTAAAAAAAATGGAAGAAGAAGCAAGAGCAAACAGCTAGCTAAAATAGTATATAAGAGGGAGCAATTGAATTTTTTTTTTCAAGTGCCATCGAGAATGAAAGATCAAAGGCTGCACAGGAATTCTACAAAATCCACTTTCTTTTCAAGAATCCTTCTTTTAGAGACTTGATTCATATGGATGCGCGTGAGTTTAGGGATTAGTCTTATCATAAAGTTGAGGGATTGGATCAATACACAGTCTTGACACATATGCTAATAGCAAGTAAGCCGCAATTATCTGTGACTGTGACTAATAAATCCCACAACTAAATGAAAGTCATGACCAAATCCCATCAAAGATAAATTAACAGATCAAGCATTAATGATAGAGAGATTAGACAAGTTAAATTAAGTAAATGTGGATTGATAACTACAGGCCTGCCACTGTATCTGTATGGCAAAAGTTTACAGTAATTCGTGTGTGAAACAAAAATAGAAGGCATCATCAAAATGTGGTATTTGCTAATGAAGCAGCATATGCAGGCTACAAAATTTATGCTGCATTTTGGTGATCTTGTGCAAAAAGATTTGATTCTATGATTTAGTGGTAACCTCTTTGAAGTAAAAACCTGATAAAAGCCAACCTGACTAGTTTCCTCGTTGATGGTTCGGTTTTAATCCAATGATGACGATGAAGGAGCGCAGCAGGAGGAGATGTCGATACCGGCAACCTCCATGGCATTGCAGACCCATTGTGGCACATCACCATGAGGGAACTATAAGAAAATAAAGAGGCTATTATATTAGGTTCCATATTGACGTAAATTCAGTCAATTGAAAGAACAGCTACTGTCTTTCTTTTCTTTCTCTCTCTCTCTCCTTTTCTTTTTCTTTTCTTTTCTTTTTGGTGTGTGTATAGGGGGGTGATCATTGCCGCCTATTTGACCCACAGAAATCTCTGAGGTCTTATCTTTGAAATTATCAAGCTACTGAAGCAGGTTCTGAGCTAGGCACTTATGTAAGATTTGTGAGAGAGAGAGAGAGAGAGAGAGATGAGTCTTCCCAAGAACCAATACCATTCTCTGCAAAAACTTGCGAACGAACCTGCAAAAAGTTTAAAAGCATGTTAGGCTAACAGGCCACTATTAGAAGCAACTACAAATCGCATCCCGTGTGATGACTTTTTTGTGGTTTATTAAAAAACCTTTGTGAAAATTTTGTGGTTTAAAAAGGTAAAATTGAATAATAGTGTCACACTTTTCACTGGTGTAATCTTTGAAATGAATTTACATTTTCTAGCTGAAGGATAACAAATATAATTTGAATCGATATGTGGAGAAATAAATAATAACTGGGACATTGAAATTTACAAACTTGTAGAGCATAGTTTGGAAGGTAAAATACACTTAGGCCTTGATAGTACAAAATGGAGAACTTACTCTGGAAATTGCCCCTGAACTATTGAAGAATGGAGATCTCTGCTAAGCTGTGAATTTTCAGCACTTCTACAGTTAGTTCTATAAAAGAAACAAAAAATAGGAAATATGTAGGCAAGATAGTGCCCCGGACCTTCATCATGTAATACAAATTGTGATATGAGAGTAGCTGAGAACCCATAGCATCTTTTGTAACAAGACAGTGGATGTAGGCCCTAGTATAGTTCCTGCAGACCTGAGATAGTAAATGATGAAGCAGATGCATACTGTCTCCTTAAACTGAAAATAACTAACTACTAAGAAAAGTATACCATGCAATCACATGTAGGATCAACAGGACGGGTATCATCAGCCATCGCTTTGTGTTTTAGTTTTAAAACTCCCTGCAGTGAATATCACAAACAGATTATGTTTCAAAGGGTGACTAATTAGGCAAAACTGTAACTGAAAGAATAATATATATATATATATATATATATATATACATAGACTATCCTACATTTCCCCAATCTCGGCAGCTTGCAAGTCAAATAATAAATAATGTTAAAGACAATGAAAGAGTACAAAAATACACCTAAATATGCACAAAATCATACCTAACAGCATGCATAGAATCAAAGATACGGTCCTCCTTCAATATGATAATAGTTCTATAATTTATAATACTGGAGGTATTAGTAACCAGCACACTAAGCAGTATGGACACAGATACGGCGAGGACACCAGTTTCTAAAAATGTAGGACATGGACACGTTGGGGACACATTAATGATTAAAAAAAGGAAAAATGGAAAAAATAAATTAAAATATAAAGAAGAAGAAGGTAAGCGACCCCACCCAAAAAAGGAAAATATTACTCGTTCAAAAGCTCAGTGATGCACTCACCTCAGGAACAAGCGCTGTGCCAAAGCGAGCAGTACGGGTTGGATAAACACAGTCATACATGTCGGCACCTAAAGCACTACATACTACAATGTCCAGTGGATAACCAACACCCTGACAAGATTAAAATAAGTCAAATAAAGTTGTGGTAACATGAAGAATTATAGAAGTATAAAAACTATACCATAACATATCTAGGTTTGTCCTCAGGCAGTGAAGCAGTGCACTGGGCAACAACACGCCAAAATGAATCTTTATCTTCTCCACCTGCCAGACCACCAATTGCATAGCTGTTGAAACAAACAGGCAGTTTCAGTACCTCAACCATTCAACGCCATTAAAGAAAACAGACTAACAACGTTCATGAGAGCATCAGCTAATGATCTTAAACACTAATGATCAATGAGGAGAATTTAAGTGTACCTCACAAGAATACATTTCTTTGCACGTGAATGAAACAGAAGAGGTTTTCCCAGTAATTAAACAAAGAAGCAAAGAAAGATGAAAGGGGAAGATCAAAACCCCATCGGCCAATTATAACCAGTGTCATGCTTCCTAAGGAAGTTTCTATTTGTATAGTACGGGAGATTCTTTTTTGTTCTCATTTGAGATGCCCTCCACCTATCCCATTGCATTTTGTTATCTTCAAATAAAGTTCTGTTTCCTACTAAAAAATCTCAAGAAAATTAAAAGCCCACAGTTAATACCACCTTCAATAGCTACTTAGGTTTTATGCATCCTATAATGTCCAAAATAAGATTAAATAATATCATCCACTTGAAGTAGTGTAAACTTGCCCTGGTAAATTCCGGTCAACCAAGCCTCGGACGCATATGTCCCTGGCATTAGAATAAACAATCAGATAATATAAGCGACAGTTGTGGGAATGGAGAAAGAAGGACCAGATCCTTCAACTCACTGAGGGACAGTGAAATGATGAAAACTGTTTGAAGTTATACCTTAGGACTGGATCTAAACCGCCTTGCACAATGCCAAATAAATTCTGCTCGTCAGGTCTCTTATGTGCTGAATACAAGAAGTATCTCAGAAAATAAATCCTTAAATATTGAAGTAAATGGAACCATCATGGGTTGTCTCATTGGTCCAAAGGAACCAAGGTAAATCAAAAAGGATTTAAAGGGAATTAGTTCAAACCCATGATGGCCACCTACCTAGGAATTAATTTCCTATGTGTTTCCTTGGCAACCAAATGTAGTAGGGACAGAACCAAGGTAAATCAAAAAGGATTTAAAGGGAATTAGTTCAAACCCATGATGGCCACCTACCTAGGAATTAATTTCCTATGTGTTTCCTTGGCAACCAAATGTAGTAGGGACAGAACCAAGGTAAATCAAAAAGGATTTAAAGGGAATTAGTTCAAACCCATGATGGCCACCTACCTAGGAATTAATTTCCTATGTGTTTCCTTGGCAACCAAATGTAGTAGGGTCAGGCGGTTGTCTCGTGAGATTAGTCGAGGTGCGCGCAAGCTGGCCCGGACACTCACGGATATCAAAAAATATATATACATATATTGAAGTAAATTGAATTAAGGTGACATACTCGGTTGGTCTAAATTTATTTATAGAACATGGACCATACAGCATGAAATGTTGTGAGTGAACAAAGAAATAATGAGAATCTTAAATTATAAAGATGGGAGCTAGGACGGGAAAAAGCAACATTTGAACATGGTGAGTGAAGAATGCTCCGTTTTTAATCAAAACCTAACAAATCACATCAACTTAGAATATAAAAGTAGTTTAACTCAGATGAATAAATCTTTGTGGTCTCTATTCATATGAGTTATTTTTTATAATCCATATTTATGCAAGTGCTTGAAAATTTTACCTGCTATACATCTGTCTATCCATCGAAGCGTACGGTACATGGCCTCCTCAATTCTTGGACCTGTAATGGTTGTTCTCACTACGTCATCAAGAGCCATTATAATATCTGCTCCTATTCTGTTCTGTGAGAAATTTAGGGGGGTAAATGAAGCATTAAAATGCAGTAACCCAAGGGAAAAAAATGAAGCATTGATTGGATATTTTATTATTTTATATACTTGGTGGACGGTCACCAAGATTTGAACCTATATCTGTATTCTATTGACAATTTACAATATCATTTGGGCATAGAGACTATAGAGGATTGAAGAAGAAAACCAACCAGTACAGATAGAAACAACTTCTGAAAGTAAAAATAACAATATTGACAGTGTTAATATCAAGCAAGCATATATTAACCTACTTGAATTTGAATTGATTCCTCAGGAGTCAAAAGCATTGGTTTCCCGTCAACCGGAGACTGAAGAAAGAAAATTTGCATTAGTTACTTTTTGTTTTAGAAGATTTAGAGAATTAAGGTATTCGTCTGTACAAATCAACAAAATTCTTCACCAGAAGATAATGCTAAATACTACTGTCAGCTAAAAGTCTTCATATGCCTAAACAATAGTTAACTTCTGAAATAAACATTGAGAAAGTACCTGAAATGTTACACCTTTTTCGGTGATATCAGCTAAGTGCAACAATGATACCTAGCGAATATTAAATGGAATATAACCTTCATTACGTTGATAATATCAAGAAAACTAATAGAAATGATATGAAGGAATTATAATGACAATAGGAAGTTCAAAGAGAAGAGTGAAGTAAATGAAATTTGAGTTGGTATTTTATAAATAGATATTCAGATGAATGTAGCCTGTACTAGTCCCCATATCAGTCAGACCCTGTACTTTAAGAACTTAAAGGTTCCTTATTTCAGTCGGAGCACTAAATTTCAGACAGCCTACTTCAACATCAGCTACAGGCTCTAAGGTCAAGTATCCAGCATCTCGAAACTTATCTGTTGCAGCAAGTTGCCTACCTCTCCCTTAACTTCCTTTTTTTATAAGAAACGGAACAGTGGTATTATAGACAAAAAAAACGGGAAAACAACCTAGGGGCAAAGGGTAGAGAGAACCCCCTCCCGAAAAATAAGAAATAAGAATCTTCCAGTCATTAATGATTATCACATGGTTGTAATTACCAACAAAAAAAAAATCATTAATTCTTATAGTTAGAGCACCATGTTGTACACTATTACAAAAAATAATTCATCGGAACACTCTTGTTTTCAAAAATCCTATTGTGTATCTCCCTCCAAATCAGCCGTAGGGACACAGCACAATTCCACAAAATATTTGCTTCTCCTTTTATCCAAATATCCCCAAAAGATTCCAAGAGGAGATGATCCAGCCTCATCTTCTTTATCTGTTGCAGAAAATATCTAAAGACTTAAAGACCACAGGTTTTTCCTTTCCATGTTATCTTCATCTACAATGAACTATAGATCTGTGTGTCAAATCAATTTTTTTATCTAATTGCCCTCACCAGGTGTAATACAAGTTATTGATTCATCAGCACGTGAGATGAGTAATTATACTAATACAACACTGTCTAAGTAACATATATTATGTGAATGAGTTTGCAAGGGACTGAAGTTCTCAATCCTTCTGAACTACCATAAAGAAGCAAGAATGACAAATATGTATATATATATATATATGTATGTATGTATGTATGTCTGCCTGCAAATATACGAATCAGAAATGGTGAAGAGGAATCAAAAGTAGATAAACGACCATCTGAAACCCGCCAGAATCAGTAAGCATTGCTCTGGGCCAGTTCATAAACTTGTGGAGACCTCCTAGCTCATCAATTAGCTCGGAAGTAGGACGAAGCGCTAAATGATATGTATTTCCAAGTATAATTTGGCAACCAATCTCCTCAAGTTGCTGATTAGTTAACCCTTTAATTGTCCCTATAATCAGGTAAACTCAATTTCAAACACTACTGCATGCAATTGGACAAGTGATACGAACTACAATTTATATATCTTCCACGAGGGATGCATATGCATGCTGGATTGGCTTCGAAAATATACCTTGGGTTCCCACTGGCATAAACAGAGGTGTTTGACATATGAAGTGGGGGAGAGTGAGTTGAGCAGCACGAGCTCGATTAAATCTTCCCAAAATCTAAATGAACAAGCAGGGGACGAAAAAATCAAGACTTTATGCTAGCACGGAATCATCTGTAAAGTATTATTCAACCATGGATCCAGTAACTTTTCCTGGGAAATATATATGCATGTGCATTATTCCTAAACAGACGAACACACACAGAAGTTATACAAAAACGAAATTATACCTCGAAACGAAGCGCCATGAAACCAATATTTCAACTTCCCAATTTTCCCAGTTGCTGGAGAAGTCTCCGATTAGTACTGCATTTAAGAGAAAACGAGAGAAATAAATGGAATTCGGATGAAAGAGAACTCCGTCGATAACTATGGGCTGTAGATTGCTGACTCTGTGAAAGATGAGCTTACGCAGAGGGCGATAAAAGGCGGGTAAAACGTGTATCAATTGGCAACCTTTGCATTGAGCTATAACATCGCATGCCTATTTATATGGTTGGTTTTACGGTGCGAATAAGACCTAGTTGGGGGAAATTTTAAACTACTCCGGAAGCCGCTCTACGGATATTGTTCGCTTTGAGCATTGTACTTATAATTTGGTTTTTATTTCACATGCAATCTCACCTTATAAACCTATGCAATCTCACCTTATAAACCTAACAGGATAAATTGGAAATGAAGTAATTCCACTACACCACAACTTCACTACGTCACTACTCGTCGGTGGTACAATTCACGTATTTAAAATAAAAATTATCCTCGTAATTTTAACTCCCCTCTTTTTAATGATAATTTTTTTCTCTTCTACATCATGTTTAAAGTTGTACTAAAAATGTACTTAACAAAAAGGTTGTACTAAAATAATAGGTTTTTGTTTGTTTAATATTACTATTTTCTTAACCTAATTTGAACATATTGTCAAATATAAAATTATCTATATTACTTTATAAATTCTTCTGCAATTATAGACAACCTAGTCTATTTTGACATCGTATATCGTCTATTTGGGAGGCGACATGTAGCTACGTTGCTTTAAGAGATTATTATAACGAACATTTTGAAAGTACAACGACTATACMGAATAAAAGTTGAAAGTACACAGATCAGATTAATACTTCAAAGTATAGACCATGACCAACGAAAATCAAAACTACAAACTAAGTATTTAAACATATAAATAAAAATATATAAATTACTTAATTACATTTTTTAAATATCTAAAGTCTAAATATAGTAATATACATTATGCACCCTTTAAAGTTGTACAAAAAAAAACATGATTTGTTTTCAAAAGGAAAAAAATACATGATTTTTGTGGGTTTAGTATTAATACTGTTTAAACTTATTTTTAAAATACCATCAAATATTTAAATTGATCTATAATGCTTCATAAAATTGTATACCATGAGAGATGATATAATTCATTTTGAATTGTACATTGTCTATTCGAGAAACGACACATAGCTACGTTACCTTCAGATATTACCATGATGATTAAAACAAATAAAAATTGAGAATACAAAAATCAAAATAAGCACTTTAAAGTACAAATACCATCATAAACAAAAGTAAAAAATATTTAAACAAAAAAAAGATACTAGTTACCTGATTAAATTTTTAAATATCTAAATCTAAATATATTATTATACAGTATACGCTTATTTAAAGTTGTACTAAAAAATAAAATTATGTTGTTTAATATTATTAAATTTTTAAACTTATTTTAAAAATAATTTGAAGTATAAATTTACTTCGAGTCGTCTCTCAATAGATTACATGTGGCTATGTCGTTTTAAGAGATGAATCCTAAAAGTTTTAAACAAATTATCCCACATTTTGAAATTTACGCCTCCATAATCGGTGAGAATATAACCACCTTACTAAAGTGGGTAAATTATTTAAAAATTGTAGAAGTCAAGTTTAAATAGATGATATATGTAATTTTTTTTGAAGCAACGTGGCTGCATGTTGTCTCTGCTACGATATACCATGCCACATTCAACCAGACTATCTCCACATGAGCCCTATTTTGAATAAGTTATGATTTGATAATATTTTAAAAACAAGTTTAAAAAACAGTAACATTAAAAAAAAAAAACCCCTACTTAAAAGTTTGGAATTAATTAAAAAAATGAAAAAAAAGGAATTCATTTAAAAAGGGAAAAAAATGGAATTAAATTTTATAATTCGTTATTTTATTTATTTGTTTAAAATGATTTAATGGCTATTGAACAACCTAATTATATTATGTCCCATAACCGATCCATATTCCAAAGAATTGAAGATGTCGAAGATATTTCGGGTAAAAAAAACATCAAAATCCGGAAAACGATCTGAATGACAAACGATCGTCGGGCATCAGCGCAAGCTGTCAAGCGCATCGGAATTGAAAGATTCAACTCTTAAGCTCAATCCGAATTTCATACTCTGAGCTCGTTCACCTACTGAGAAACGAAGATCCGGAAAATATACTTTCAACTGTCTCATGTTCAATCTGATCGTGTGGAGCATGCTTGGTACTGGCACTGGCGATCTACTAAACCGGCTTGCCTGATCGGAATCTTGTAGACGTGCACCAGTTGCCGATCAAAGGTTGGAATCACTCCTCTTTGTTCCATCACGGTCTGATTTAAGCAACCTAGAAGCTGCTGCACGCAGAGCTTTTTTGCAGTTGACTGATACTCGGATGCTTATAATATTAATTTCGTTTCCTTTTGGTCGAAAATTGAACACGAACTGACTTGGTTCTTCGGTTTATCGAATTTATTTTGCAGCTCTTCGAGTTCACAGCTCAAGATTTATATTCAGGGATTAGAATTACTCTATCCGGAAAATGCAGCACATTCCAGCAACTTTGGAGGAACAGTTGTTATTGAAAGCCATCAAGGAAGAATGTCCTTGGGAGAGTCTCCCGAAACGGCTCCAAGCAACGTTGTCCTCAAAAGAAGAATGGAACAGAAGGTTAGAAACGTCCGTCGGTCGTCTTTTGGTTTTACTCTGACTTTTCGGATAGCATAATTTTCAATAGATTTAGGTACGGCCTCTGTGACACGAAACCAAAAGGTGCAAAATATCACAATCTGTTCGTTAACCGATGAATTGTTCACTTCTGATTTGTGCATTTCTCTCTTATCCTACGAAATATAGTTATTTTCTACTTCGTTGGAAAGGGTAGAGTCCAAGTGCAAAATGTATGAAGTTCATCAGTAAAAACCGTTGATTTATGTTGCACTTATGTAAAGAGGCATCATTCGCTAAAGCGCTCTTGCTATAACTGCTGGGCTATTTAGCTACGTTTAAATCAGAAATAAATATCACCTCAATAATTAGGTCAAAACAATTTGTTTTCTTACTAATGTAAGAACACAAAAGGGGAAGACAAGATACCGGCAGTGGAGCATGCATAAAAGCACTACAATTGGCACAAGTAACAAAAAAGGGTCACTGCAAATCTGATTACATAGCGAACACCAATTATAGGTAAAGACTGTCACCATTGCCCAAAAGTCATCATCCTCTTTGGAATTATCCTGTTTATTTTCACCCACGATTTGCAAAGAAGAGATTATGTTGCATTGATCTGAGGGGTTTCCTCTTTCCCTTGAACGGATTTCTACACGTAATTGTCTTCAGCACATCTTTAATGGTTTTAGGGGACAAAAATGTTGAGCAAGGATATCGGGTGCATTTCTTGGGTTACTTGTATTGACTACTCCCAAGCATAAAGTCTGATTGAAAAAAATAACCACTATTGTAGTTGTAGCATTGCTTTACCATATTATTATTACTCTACAAAGTTCAATGGGCAGAGGAAAGTTTCTTGGAGTTGGGTGGCGGAAGATATATTTGCTGGTGAAGTTACCTAGAACCTCTAATAAAACCTTCTGATTTCTTATAAACGGTTCTTTAATAATATGTGAAGAAATAAAAGGTGGAAAAGTTGTAGATCATGTTATATGGCGACTTGAGAATATTGAGATCTACCCCCTTTGAATTGAAGGTATTACACAGAGATATGTCAACATTCCGCATTTGTTTATTCACCTTTATTTTGGAAATTATTTGGTCCAAGTAGTACAATTCATGTCAATCATCTAGCCTCAAGGAAGAAGACCAGTGCATCATATTATAAATATCATTTAATTGAATGTAGGCTTTATGAAATATATATATAATGCATATAGGTTGGGGCTTGTTTTCTTTCTTGCTTCAACTTGGAGTTTCTCATCTAACTACTTTTGTAATTATGTTTCCTCTATGATCAATGCTGATTGCTGATCGGAGTATTTCTTGTAGTCCTAGGGCTTGGGTTTGGGAAGACTCCATATTTTATTTCACTCAATTTCATCAAATAAGAATTCTTCATTATCTCTTTCTTCAATGAGATTTTATTTATTGTATATATATATTCCCCGAAGGATAATGCATTTGGTATTCAAACGAAGTTTGACCTGAAGAGGCAATTTCCCTGTCCCACTTAACCATTGAAAAAGTTGGCAGCAATTTAAATACTGGAAAATGACGGTATAGAATGCTAAAAAGATACAAGCATTAATAAGCTAAGCCCCCCTGATTTTTAAAATGGCTATCACTTTCTTTAATGTTGATGCATGCTAATTTCGTGCAGGATTATTGACCACTGTATAAAGAAGAGACTTCCATGGAACACTAGTTTTGCCCGCAAAGTATGCAAAGAAAGTGAATACTATGAAGATATGATGCGTTATCTGCGAAAGAATCTAGCGGTCTGTGTTGTAGCTAAAGTTCTCCAAATTATTTATTGAATTAGTATCTCATTGATTATTGCTGAAGTTCTCATCGGCATCAAGTTCTACCTGTTAATTGGTGTCTTGTAAGACCCACCTATTGCAATTTTTGTTATGGAAGATGGTTGTAATGTTTCGAACTTGATGTTCCATGTAATATACTTCTATCAACTTGGAGTATTGCCAAGTGAGAAAAGGATTGTAGAAATACTAGTTGTTACATTTTATTCTGCTACTAAACCATATATGCTGTAAAACAACCTAGTTTTGTTGAGATTCTAACTCAAGGGTTGGGCATGGTGGCAATAACCCTTGGACTCAACCTAGTAGTTATGAGTGACAATCCTTTTGGGTTCATTCTTTTATAATATTATCTCACATATCTTTTTTATTTTTATACCTACACAAGAAACTTGTATATACCAACCAAAAAAGAGATAGACAACCTAAGGGCTGGGTAGAGAGAACCCCACTCAAAGACTAAGTAAAGGCTTTCCAGTAGTTCATGAACATGGAAAGATTGTAATTAGTATCTCACATATCTTGACTGCAAAAAGTTGGATGTCTCTAATTTTGGACCCAAAGAAGGTCGAGGGTCTAAGGAAAGGGATATTTGAGTACAAAAATGTTCCTTGTGATCTGAACTCTATTATACTTAATGGATAAGATAACTACATTAGCATGCACATATATGTCATCACCTTGATTAAATTTTCTTTTCTCATTAGTGTTTAAACATTGATGTTTTACCTGCAGCTATTTCCTTATCACCTTGCGGAGTATGTTTGCCGTGTAATGAGAATATCACCCTTTAGATATTACTGCGATATGATATTTGAGGTCATGAAAAACGGTAAGAGCCTTCTCACAACTTATGCAATACAGTTACTTAATGTGAAACCATTGTAAGTATACTAGTTAAAGTATATTATACCAAGCTCTTAAGAATAATATGATAATTAAATAAATCTTAATCTAATAGCTTAAAACTTTATGGTTTGTGATAATTCATCGGAGAATGAGTTTGAATGATCTTAACCTCAAATATTTGCATTCATGTTCTTCATTTTAACATTAATTGTGTGAATGATGCAAACTATGAATTAAGTAATATTGGAGTCTTCATGTGAGGGGTATGTAAAAGTTAGTTATGTAATTTATGTAATTTTAAGTTATACTCTAAACTTACAAAAAACTGCGAGTTTTTGGATTCAAAGAATGTGTCTATGATGGAACCTTATGCCTCCTATCTGTTTAACGTATGCAAGGAGAGGCATAAAGTGAGTGAGGAGTGAGATCTAGTGTAGTGTTTAGTTGTAAGGCTGACGTTGTCTCTCTGAAGAAAATTGTTAGGCGTTGTGAGTTCAATAGAATATGTGGGAGGGATATTTATGTTGGAGTCAATATGGAAGTAGTAACTAAAGGAAATCCTAGTATATGGAGAGTCCTATGCCTCTTCAAGTGCTTGGTTTTTGTGTGGAGGAAAGGTAGTTACAATTTATAGGTATACTGAAAAAGTCGGGGTAGACGACATACAAGCTTTAGCCATCCTCTACTCGGGTATGCACCCATTCTTTTGTTTTTGTTTTTGTTTTTTTGAAAAGAAACAATTTCATTGATGTATGAAATTTAAGTAAAAAAGGGGAACAAAAGGAAGGGATACCCTCCACGGGATCTACAAAAGACCCCTCTAATTGGATAGTAGAGGTGTAAAACTATAATGATGAAAAAGAGGAAAACATTTACACCAAGGTAGGACCAAAAATACAATGGAATCAAAGAAATATTCACAGGGGAGCTCATTTCCTTTGAAAATCCGATGATTTCTTTCCATCCATATAGCCCAAAAAACCGGCTTGCACAAAGTGCATCCAAAGAAGCTTTTTCTTCTTAGTGAAGGGGTGTCATATGAGAAGTTAAGCCAATGTGTTACTACGGCTTCTTTATGATTTGTAAATGATTGGAAGACCTTTTTAGTTTAGTTCTTTTGGCGGGGTTCCCTCTACTCTTCCTCTGGCCTTTAGGCAGTTTCCTCTCCACCTTGGAGTTTTTTTTTTTAATATATTCATGTCTCTTATCTAAAAAAAGAAAATGAAAAATAAACGAACCCCTCATTCCTCTACCCTTTTCCACTAGAAGTTCCTCATCAGCCTGGTGTACCCATGTTTGAAAAAAATATTGGCCAACAACATAGTAGGTTAATTACTCCAAGTCTATAACTATAAGCTAGTTTGTCGGGACGCGGGTGCCCCTGGGTATAGGGGAGCAAATCTCCGACTCCCAGTTGTAGGGAGAAAAAAAAACTATAAGCTAGTTTGTTACCAAGCCAACTAACGGTAAACCAATACTTGACCTGACATCTTATGTATTGAATGAAATATGTTTTACACAACAAAGATATATTTATTTATGTTTTTGATAAGAAACAAAGATTCATTGATCTATCAAAAGAGGAGGCATCTTAAGGGCAGAGGGTTGGGAAGACCCTCCCCCAAAAGCTAAACAATAGCAGCCTTCCAATTCCTATCTATTATTTGTAGGCTATAATTACAAAAGAATTTCTTGTGGTATAAGGACCACCAAGAAGCAATGTGCTGTATACTAAAACAAAACGTGTCGTCGATAGAAATCTTGTTTTCGAAAATCCTCCTATTCCTTTCCTTCCAAGTCAACCATAGAGTCGCCCTCGCCGCACAATTCCACAGAACGTAGGCTTTGCCTCTAAGCAAAGTTCCCCCAAAGTTTTCAAGAAACAAGTCATCGATTCTTTTAGGGAGACAAAACTGAAGATCCATCTCCGACCGAACAAACGCCCAAACCTTTGTAACAAAAGAGCAATGAAGAAAAAGGTGGTCTATTGTTTCCGCTGCATTGTTACAAAGCCAACATATCGAAGGAGAAAGAGACCTGAAAGGAAATCTTCTTTGGAGCCTCTTTGCCGTGTTTAAACTTCTATGGAACACTGACCAAAGGAAGAATTTTACCTTCTTGGGGACCATAAAATTCCATATGCAGGAGGTCACTGGAGCTTTAAGCTTTTGTGATGGTTTAATCTGAAGAGAAAAAGTTGATTTTGCTGTAAAGAGACCACTGCTCTCCCCTTTCCACCAAAGTTTATCCTTCCCGTTCCTTGCTGCCAAAACTCAATCTTTTCTAAGAAGCTGGCCCACCTACTGAGTTCTCTGCCGAAAAAATTCCTTCTCAACCCCAAGTCCCAAGTATGGGAAGAAGTCTCCCAGCAATCTGCCAAGGAGCAGCCTTTTTTGGTTGAGAGTATGTACAAATCAGGGAAAGAGGTTGCAAGAGGAGAGGAATCTGCCCACCCATCTTCCCAGAATCTGACCCTTTCACCTTTTGAGGATTTGAAAGTGATCCACTTCTCAAAACTGTCTCTGTTTCTAATAATATCCATCCAAGGGCGACCTTTTGATGAGCTACCCTTAGGGAGGGAAAACCAGCCGTAGGTCTCAACCCCATAATCGCGCCAATGACCCTCCTCCACAAAGCTTTATCCTCATGTGCAAATTTCCATAACCATTTAAACAGAAGGGATTGGTTTCTCTGTTTTAAAGAACCAACCCCAAGACCACCCTGTCTTTGAGGAAGAGAAGTCGTATCCCACTTCACAAGGTGACAGCCCTTTTTTTGGTTACCTCCTGTCCAAATGAAATCCCTTACCACTTTCTCCATAGCCGACACTACCGTCTTCGGAGCTTTCAACAGAGAGAAAAAATAGACCGGGATGCTATTCAAGACGGATTGAGCAAGAGTGATGTAGTTAAGTAGCTCTTCATAGCTTTTCTCGATTATTAGCTACTGTTATAGCTTTTATTTTAGTAGCTTTACTTTTACTGCACAGTAACAATAGTTACTCATGTAATTCTTAAGCTTGAAACCTCTATAAATAGGTTTCAGCCTTTTAATGAAAGGGCATTGAATCATTTCTTAAAAAACCTTGTGAGGTGCTACATCAAATTGGTATCAGAGCATCCCGATTTTCTGGGTTGTATGGCGGGAAGGAAGTTGATCAACATTGGTGACTCTTCTCTCGTCAACAAAGAAGTGGAGCAAGCCTCCATTCTCTCGCCACGATCATCAACCGCACGCTTGCTGTCGGTTGAAGGAGAGGTGAAAACCATCCAGCAGGATGTCGGCGAGATTAAACAAATTTTGGAGATCATCCATGACAAGCTCGAAGCAATGAGTGTACA